TACAGAAGACTTCAGTAGTTTCACCAGCCAAGGGGGAATGAATAACTTATCTGTCTTATCGGTTTATCAGGCACCACCTCTATAAAAATGGCATTATGCACACATTATGTACAGAGATAATACCAAAGTCTGACAACTCCGTTGTTTCCACTGTGCGCGAATCCTGTATAGGCCAGTGTTGTGCTGATCTTAATTATAACTGCTTTTCTGGGTTAAATAAGCAAAGTGATCAGCCTAAAAAATTTACATATTTAGCCTATACCCCTATTCTTAAAGTAAACAGCATTCGTGGTATACAGGTTCTCTGCAAACCTTCTCCAAACTGCGTAAAAAGAAGAAAATGCACATAAAATTCCTAATGATGGGCTCTGCACATCACTTACGATGCCCAGTGGGGGGGTTTCCACTCCCTTGGAAAACTGGGCTTCACTGTTGAAACCTTTGGGGTTGCAAGCTAATTAAAAACCTCTTTAAACGAAACCAATTTTGCTAAAACCATACCAAATCGTTTCAAAACAGTCGGTTAGGCCCACTTATTAGCAACGAAAAGTGTTTAGGAACACTGGGAAACAATTTGTAAAAAGGGGGAAAACACAGGCTCTTATCTCACTACTGCTTACTTCCTCTAATTAAGAACACTCAAGGCAGCACTCGAGTCTCCCAAGCTACAAATGGCTCCCCAAGTTCCCCAAGGGGTGCACAGTGTCGGGCTGTACCGGAATGAAAATAAACACACGACAACAGCGGCATGATAATGCATTTGCCAAAGATGCCACAGGGGTTCCCCAAGCGGAGGAGTTCTGCAACGACTTCAAAGGAGGGAAGACTGCACGTGTTTTCAGACCATGTGTGCATTTTTTTTTTAACATTTCAAAGTGCTGTAGATTGCTCCTGCTAGGTCTTCTCTTTTCCAGACTGGATGACGGTGTGTTTTGACCAAGATACAGTATCTTTGGCAGCAGAGACAGGCTGTCACGCAAACTGTCTGATCTCAGCTTCTTCACAACAAATGTCATCGGGTAGTCATAGCCTTCCATAGCTCCTTTTTCCCCACTGAGATACGGGAATAGCACATAATCTCTGGCTTTCCAGCTGCAGATTCCTACCAATAGAAATTTGAGGACTCCTAGTCCTATTTCTAGTCCTGGTTTTAGCAGCTGAATTTTTCCCCCACAGGCTGCAAAATGTGGCAAGAACCATTGTGACTACCAGTGGTTAAGTCAGCATGCAGGCACCATAATTGTGCAACATCAGTGGGAATTGTGTTAAGCAGCAAGTGAAAGGAATGGAAAGCAAAAGAAAGGAAAAGGAAAATAACAATACTGTAAAAAAAGAAGAGTGGTCACCCTCTCTGCGTGTGCTTTGTGCTCCAGCTCTCTAGCTACATTAAAAAGATGTGTCAGTATGGCTGAGACAAAACGGGAAGATTAGATAAGTCTAAGGGACCGTGCTGAGATTCATCATCATCATCAGTACAGGAGACACCAGCGAAAATACATTTTGCATGGAAAACCCATTCCCTCCATGTGGAGGAGATTAGCAACCACTGATGTTCCTCTAGTCAGATTTGTCCTCCCTCAGCCTCTTACACGGAACCCATCAAGCTCAAGTGTTACCAAATTGATTGAAGAAAAATCTTTCATGTCAGCTCCTCAAACCCCGACGATCTTGGAGTGAGAGACGTTCTCAAACCAAAGGGGCTTCAAGGGTGAGGGCTGACAGCTTGACACATTGTTCTTTCCAAGTCCCAGGGGTGCTTCATAAGAGAGCAAAATGGTCGCTCCAATTGCCCAGAGAAAGCTGGGGCTTCAGTTTTGGCACCACAGCTCTGCCACATTGTGTCATGTTCAACATATCCTGCCCGAATTACAGGACAATCTGCTCATGCCAACAACAATCCAGTCCACCTCTATCTGTGAGCAATGGTAGCCTATGTGGTGATGTTATGTTCTCTGTCAGCTTCTCAGGGATCTTCACACCAAGCCGTTGTGATGACAGGACCTATACATCAAGACTGATTACATTCCTATGACCAGTTCTGGGTATGGAGGTCTGTAAAGGTGGCAGATGTGTATGAACTGAAAGCAAAAAGAGTTTTTTCAAGACGACAAATCAAATCTTTTCTGCCCCCTAGTGACAAACACAAAAGGGGCTTTTTTTGCACCAGGGAGTTTCCCCATAGCTCTACAGCTTCTTTTTAATCAAGAGATCGTTCAAGCAGGCAAAATTATTAATCAGCTTACAAATTCACATTAAAAAATATTTTATCCTAAATGCATGCAAGCACCAGTTTAATCAGTGCATAATGTATCCAAGACAGGAACTGACAATCCCCCAGAGAAGATGCCTCTTTCCAGCGTTTGTAGCAGTGTGGGTGATGAAATCCCCCATAATAACAAGCGCATTAAAAACACTGGGCTCCAGGGGAATTGCAAAATAAGAGGTTCCCAAATGACCCCACTCAGGTGAAACGAATGAATCAACCTGGGAGAAATAAAAACCACTTACCACTCTCAAAACTCAGATTCCTGCAAACTTCGATCTCTGCCATTTAAAATATGAGTTGTTTGGCTCAAGAGGTCCCTCCATACGCGTTGGGCATCATTGGTATTTTTTACTTGTTGCAGCTTGAAATTCCCAAATGTCCTCAGATATGGATCTGTTTGTCCATTTCCCCATGATGATTGGGTTTTCAAAAGATGCGCACTGTGGGAATGAAGCGTTACCCACTGCTCCTCAGCACCTGCCTGTCTGCAGAGTGGATTCACAGACCGCCAAACATCTCACATCCTCTGGGCTGCGCGCACATTTCTCTCCTCTCATCAGGCGCAACACGGAGGCAGAAATATAAGCCGATTTCTTTGCGCGCTCAATAGGCTGACAGGAGAGTGGATGTTAATAAGCGACAGCTCAGGACGGGCGTGGATTGAACGAGAGGGGATGATAGTGCAGAGAGCACTTCAGCCGCCAGACTTGTCCATTTGGACATTTCATCTGCATAACCTCGCGGGCTCGCAGCGTTTGACGGAAATTTTAATACGTTTTAATGAACCAAACAGATTTATTCAGTCCGACAAAGCTTGATTGTTAGTTTTTGGTGCACTATTATTCACCATTAAGCCTTAGGAGAACAAAAAAGGCGTCATTGCGCATCAGTGCCAAAGCTATGACCCACTTTACGCCGTCTGTTTCCATCTGAGTCTTCCCCAGTTCCAAAATCGACTCTCACTCGGGGACACACCAGCCAATAAAGATGCAGTTTACATAATGGGGCACTTAAGATAAAGAGAGGACGACGATGGCCATGCCTGTGCCGTTTAGACATGAATCAATATGCAGTTTTTAAGCTTTTAAATTGTGCGCGAGCGTTCGTGCGTGCGCGAGTCCAGTCTGGATCGTATCATCCTCGTTGAGTCATTTCCCTAATGAAAGTCTAGTCGGTCCGCAGCCTCCAGATTAGTGTTGTACATTGGTCCACACCAAAGCTATTTCATTTAAGGAACACAGCAGAAGAATGCAGGAGGACCTATCTCACACGCCTCAGACACGCGCACATGGTTCAAACCCTGAGATCAAGAGGTGACCAAATCGATTAGCAGGTGCTGTCTCGATGTACAAATGGCCACGCCTGAACGCCAATCATCCATTAGATCCAGCGCGTGTGTGTGCGTGTGTTTCATCCTCAGATATTTGAGGCTTAGCAGTGATTGCTCACGTTGATGAAGTGTTCACCTTTTCATGCACACCTGCCTGATCCCAGGGCTTCCGCCCACTGACTGATTTATGAACCATGGCCGAAACAAAACCCTCACCATCCAACCAGTCATGTGGACAAAAATGGGTGTCTGGGGTGCTTTTCTGAATGGTTTGAGTTGAGAAAGAACAGACTGTTCCGGAATTGACCTATTATAGGTGGACAAGAACATGATTTGAAGTTGGGCAATGATACATCTGTTTATTTCCAGACACTCCATTAGCCTCCGTTTATCCCCAAATTTATATTCTAGGAATATTGCGATGTAAATTTAGAAAGCAAAAGTCTAATTTCCCCTATTCCAAGATGGCTTATGTACAAGCTGGCATGACGGTTTTTGCAACAGCCCCACAGCTCTGTCATCCTCCATCACCTCTGGAGGTATCGTCCATGAGATTTCCAACCCATTCTCAGTGCAAACATTCTTACTGGAACATTCAAAATCCTCCTATTGTGGTTTTAAACATGCACAATATTCTTATTTCTAAGCACGACAGACAGCAAAATAAGATTTTGCAGTAATCAGATGAATCCATCATCCACAAAAGAAGAACTGAAGCACTCATGCCCTTTTTTTCTACCGTGTGTCTACGGGCAGCAGGGCACAGGAGCAGGACGTAGATGGTGGCTGCACTTTGTCAAAGGGCTGTAAACGGACTGCCTGCTGAGGTTCTGACTTCCACTGAGGCACACCAACTCATCAGATTTGTCACAGATTTGTCTGGTGGACCTGCTGGTGGGAAGCCTCACCACCTCTAAACCTGTAGTTACACATCAAACCGATCCTGTGACGGGTCTGGATTTAGCTTTGCTTTTAGGGGAAAGTGATGCATAAAAGGTACTGCTGTTTTTATCTTATATAAAATATGCATTGGAACGTCTGCAAAAGACGTTAAGAACGAGAATAAAACACACATTTCCAAGTGCATGCTGAGCAACGGTATTTGTGAGTCACCTTTAGGACAAACAAAGCAAGCAAACAGGTGTTTGTGAGCTATGCTTTTGCATACACAAAGCCTAGGAAGAGTTTTCCACCAATACCACATTGATTTAGTGGCTCACTGAGGGATTTCTATAGTGAACAATAAGATGGATTCATTTATCTCACCAGACTGCGTTGACTTATATTAAAGACTTTTGTATTTCAAGGTGTCAGTGAGTCTCCCTCTAGTGTCCATTGCCATGCCATACAACCTGAGACTTTTTGTTCATTTCCATGTGAGACTTGCATTTTTTTTATACTTACCATGAAAGATGCTGTTGTCCGTCAAGAAGTGCCGGCGGTACTGTGGTTCTCCCCTTCTGTTCACCACCCAGGAGCTCATGATGAGTGGGGGGAGACAGACAGCTGGATGACCTACGAAGGAAAGGAGATGATTAGTTGTGCTTACATTTTCAGAGTTCAATGAAAGGCCCATGTTTCAATGTAATTTTCAACATTCCCCTCAAACATGCGATAAAACTCAAGTGTAACTAGATGGAGATGCAAGTAAAATTAAATTTGTACAAGTTCTTGAAACTTTGTGCGTTCAAAAACTGTTTTTATTCCATGTTAAAATAAATGTACTATTTATTCAATAATGCTGTCTCTTAACTTCTTTTATCTGCCAAATAAATAGTTATAATTGTCTTTAATGGGGTTTGGGGAGTTTTCTTGTTTAGGCGTGTCTTTGTTTTGCTGTACATCATTATCATTGCATGTCCTCTAAACACTACATAATGGTTTATTTAGAGTCCATAAAAAAACATTTTGCTGCATCCAAAGATGTTTGCTCAGATTTAATACCTTTGAATATAACTGCACATTGGGAAAGCTTCGATGTACAGAAAAAAGCCTTTTTCTCATCGATTTTCACTCTTTTGAGTTATTTGCAAGCCCTTTGACACGTGATCTCATTTATCTTCCTTCCTTTCCTTATCTCAAATATTCCGGGACAAATTTTCCACTTTGTTCGCCTGATTTTCCTTTCATTCCTCACACTCTCACTGACAGTTCCTAACAATTCCCCACCTGTTGCTCATCTGTCTGTTTGATTTAGCGCTTCAAGCACATTATGCCTGTATCCCTCAGACACACACAGAGGATGTTAAGAAAACGGATAGGCTCGGGGCCTCTGGGAAACACTGACGGCTGGTGCCATCTGAATGAGGGAGAAGAGTCTGTGGAACATCAGAGTCCAGGGGTCAAATATCTCCGAGGTGAAAGTACTCTCCTGTGACCTTGCTGTTACCCCACTTTTAAACAGGCCTGTAATGTTCAGTGTTTATGGCTGTCCGAGTGCTCTGAGAGTCAGTGAGTCTTTTTAGTCCAGCAATGTAAATATATATTTTTGCCAGTTTGATACAAATATATTATATTTCTTCTATCTTCATTGTAAACATGAGTAACACTGTAATGTCTAAAATGATCGATTGTTACTGATTCTCAATATGAGCTGGTGGAAGCTGGCAAGAAATGGGAAAAAATAAGCATACAGCAAGAACAAGAACAAAAGAGTGACAAAAATGGTAAAAAGTTACTTGAGTGGTACTGTCTAGTGGCTTATATCACAAATTACAAGCATTTGAATCTACCTCAGCTTCTCAGAAATTTCAGTGGCAGAAAAGTACACAAAAAACTGCACCATAGCAATTTCTTTCCCAATACCATCTCCCAGTTTATGCCCAGTGGTAAAAGCAGTGCAGAGAGTTGAGGATGACCACCAGCAGTAGTTCTGGATATTAAGGGATCTTAATAGAGAACTGAAATAATAAGTAATAAGTAATCTGAGGGTTTTTCCTGCCGGTTCTAAAACTTAACTGTGCAATGGCTCACCACCGCTCTGCACTTACAATCGAACATTGCCTTGTGTGGCATGCTCCTTAACTATACAATAACATCTCTAAATGACTTTGTATTTTCATAACAGAGTCCAAATTATAGACATGAGTTGAACAAGAGGAGCAGATCACTGGGCACTTTGTTTAAGCAGATACGTTGGCATGGCAGATTGGGATGCAGACAGGTTTATTACAACCACAACAAAGCTGTAAGAAAGTTTGAAACTGAAACTGTTTAGTAGGTGCAATAAAATGATCAGGCTTAATGTTTAAATACATTATAACTGCTACCTTCATGGACACCATGTCTACAAACCACATGCTCTCCTTCCCTTTTCAGTTTTCAAGGTTTTTTTTTGGTTATTCTGCATGTGGTCTTGGAGATTAGATATATTGGGGATATATTAGCACATAATCATTTAGGAGACACACTTATCCAGTATATTTTACCCATGAGGAGAAACACTCAAACTTCAGAATAAGAAGACTCCTGGTGTCATCACATATTTTAAAGACAGATTGCAAATACAGCAGTTTAAAACATGCAAAGTGAGCAAGTGAGTATGGTGGACCAGAGTATTATGCAAGGGAGCTTCTCGAAAAAGACATTTTATTGCATTGAAGTGTTAATTGTTCTACTTGTGACAACACTAACACATGGCTTAAGTAAGATTAACTGTGTTTCTGCCTCAGTGGCTTTTCTCTGGGTGTCAGGGGATACACTGCAATGTTCATGGTATGAGAGTCACATAACTCCAGTGGCCTTCTCATCAGGCCAAACCTCAGGGGTATCGTCTCCACTCTTTCCTGTCTGTTGGGTTTCTTACAGGCAGAGAGCATCTTAAAAATAAATATTTCACTGCCACTCTGCCAAAGCTACTTTATCTTAGGCCCTCACAGAAAGTAGGTCGAGGATGCCTGCAAGAGAAAAGTTTTTGCAGTTGGAATTTAAGTCGAATATGTGAAATATGAAGCAAAACACATGAGTACAGAATTGAATGTGTATGCCTCTACTATCTTGCTCTTTATTAGTTATGACAGCCTCAAACTAACATCTGTTTCATTCAAGAATCCATATAGACATCAAGCAGTTTTGGCTTTTGATCTATTACATCCTCTGACAGTGTCTAAGTGTTACAGTATTTCTGTGCATCAAGTTATGCAATCACCTTATTATTGCAGAAATAATAAGAAAATTACAGCAAATATCTGTTTTAAATGAATGAATGATATGTCTCCCCTTTATACTAAATATAGGGAATTACTTTGAAGACAGTTTATGCCCAAGCAGTATGACACAAATTTGGTTTGGGAAACTGAGTCTTGCATGACAGAAACATAAAAAGAACAGTTATGTGCCATGGGTCAGAATCCACTAAGAGATTCATATGTCCAACTGTCATTAATGAACAGCACAAATCTCTTCATACATACGCATGCAGTCAGATATGCCAATTGTGCTTACCTTATGTTCTGTGACAGACTGGCTAAGCTCCTGTAACTTTTGAGAATTAGAAATAAATCACCGTCACATCCAGCACATCTGTCTTTCCAACTGAGTAGCTTCCTCAACTGGACGTCACTTAATAACAGTAACGTAAGGGCTTCCCCAAACTAATTATGCTCTGCAGAGTCAATAGGTAGCTTGGAATTGCTTGCCATGCAGTTATCAGAAAAGACTAAACAGTCTTGGCATACTGAGTGTTAAACAAATGCTTCCACAACACATGGAGTGGATTATTCCACACACCAGTGGTTTCACGTGTAGAATAAAATCTCTATGCTTTAGTCAAGATTGCTGTTTTACATGGACACATGTTTGTGGTCAAACGAGTCTCCATTTTTGTCAAAAATACTTAAGCAATGGAATAGAATCTAAAACAAAACAAGAATGATTTGAAAATATATACTTTTGAAATGCTGTACACTGTATCTGATGCTCTTTATATCGCCTAAACAAATTAAACATTTGAACCATATTAGTTCAAAAGTATAATAACCAAAATACTCAAATTAATAAACATTTATTATTAATACTAAAGCTAAATCTAAACAACATTATCTGCGCGTAAATTCTAACTTTCTGTGAAATTATTAGTAATGGACCAGAATATCTCCTTCAAAAGGGTGGTGGACTTGTCTTGCTTTCCAGTTGGATTGAGTGATGGGTAAGGTCATTGGTCAGACTCACATCTATTTCAAGCACCGCTCAACTCTCTCTCCTGCTCCCATCCTTGATGTCTACCATAGTTTGAAGATTCAAAAAGTCTGCATGTTTTGTGAAGTCTCTTCTTTAACAATGGACATCGTAGGAGTCGTAGGACACAGTAGCTGACCAGCTTTGAAACGATTCCATTCAGTTGACAGCTCCACGTTTCATATTTTCTGCATTGATAGTGTTTAGTGCCAATTCCTTCATACATACAACCACTCACATTCATGGCAGTGTCCATTCAATCCCAAAGCGGTGATATTTTTTTGCCTCCTGTATAACTTTCCACCAAGAAACTTCAAATATTCATGAGGGATCACAGCACCCACAAAGAGTCATGTTTCCACTCCCACAAGCCAACACCAGCAAGCTGATACACTGTTCACAATACTTCCAGTCTCATAATAACAAGGGAGTCGCTTTACGACTGAAGAATTCCTGCACAGACACACACACACACACACACCCTCCAGAGTATATGTGGGTGTGTTGTGGAAAAGATACTCAGCATTATGGCTGCTTACCAGTGTGTGCTATAAAATACTGGATTGACAGCAGGCAGAACAACCGCCTATTCAGTTTACTCCTCAATAAAACAGGTCAAATTTTGACATGAGGTCAAAATTTTCAGTTTGCAACTTCTTTCGTCAAAAGGTGTTTAAATGTCACCTTTGTGCTTTAGGATTCATTTCCCTGAGTGTCACCGCAGTAATATGTTTTTTTTATTTTTTATCTGCTACTCTTTCACACCCGGTCAATCACTCTCAACCCACTCAAATCAAATAAAACAATCCCCAAGGACTGTGCGCTCAGATGGGGGAGTGCCCACCTCTTTTCTCACTGGGTTGGCTACCGGCTGAGTGTGATAAAGGCCTTTGTTACACTGCTCTGTTGCAAACCAAAGGAAAACAACCCAAAAAGTGGCTCATTTGCTGTAGGAATTTCTCCATCTATCACAATGATTAGTTAATGATTATAGCAGCAAAAAAAAGCCCAAGTACATGGGAAAAAAGATGGAAATGAGCATATCAGCTCAGGCAGTCTGTAGTGGTCAAGATGGTCGTAGAATAAAAGCGTATTCAGTCAGAGTGGCTTTGTCTCACCTGGAACGCTGCAATAAAGATATGCTGAAATGTTTGAAACTTTCTGTTTTACAGAGCCCATGTCCTGTAACGCAGGCTTAACAGGTGCACAGCTGCTTGGATACTGCATACAGTATCCTAACAACTGTACATTTAAAGCGACAGCTTGACGAGTGCAAGTAGAAACAGTGAGAAAAGGTCAACTTTTTAAATTGCACAAAATACATATGAGTTTGTTGTGTTTTTTTGTACTGAAGGAAGAGGTAAACAAAAGCATAAATCACTGAAAGAATCAGTTTACTTACGTTTTGGAGTCCAGATTCAGCTTTTTAAACCTTTGTTAGCTTCCTCACAACACCGAGAGTCTCTTTTCAGCAGTGGGCCTAAGGGTGCTTTGGACCTGGACATCCATGGCATCAGGTGTGGATCAAAATCAGTGATACACTCAGTGGGCTTGGTTTCAGAGAGGAAAGCTCCCAACAACTTCACTCTGTGAGCAAGTAGCCACTACTACATCAAGCATGGTGCCTTTTCAAAGGCTGGTGTGGGACAGTGAATCTGGCAAAGCCTGGAGTGGATTTTGGAGTGGACCACTTCTTATTTTTTAAAGGTGAGCAAAATGTTTTTCTTCAGATATTCAGACTCCATCTTTAAATTTCAGTAATAAATCAATGATCCAGACTCACTGAACTCTATTATATTGCAAATGTTCGAACAATGACATTTAAATTGATAACATTTTACCTTTGTTGTGTTTTTCAACCAGTATACAATTATTTAATTTTCTTTGCTTTCCTTTTATGAAATTTCACCAGCATGTGTTTGTCTAATGCTATTATTTGTATCTAAATATGTTTAGATATTATTAGATTGCACAACTGAAAATGTGACTGCAAGATTTCAAATCACAGTAAGCCAGGAGCCCTGACACGCTCCAACTCTTCTCTTGCACCTATGATTAGGAACTTTTTTGTTAGATCAGCATCATATGATCAGCATCATATGATGAGTGACCTTTTGGTCCATTCGTGTGAACATTTGTCCCAGCGACTTTTCTCTGGATGCACAATATCCTACTTGCACAAACCTTACCTGGGAGATAGTTAAAAGCTAATAAGTGCATTTGAGCACAGTGTCTGTAATCTCTAGTTTGAAAGCCCCGCTCTGCCTTCCCAGCTGTTCTCAGCCTCAGCCGTGGTTTCCCTCCCACTCATTCCTCAGTGACAGTTCAAAGTCTAGGAGCAACCAGCAACAGCCTTCAGCCCCAAATGCACCTTACAATTTAAACCAGCCCACCAATCACGAGCCTCTTTGGCAGTAACAGTCACTAGTAACATTTGCACAACAAAAGAAAAGACAAGCTGATTCATCAACCCACTCTTCCCCCACTCTCCTCTGCTCCTTTTCCCTTCCCCAGACTCCTCCTCTCCTGCCTTTGTGTTGGGACCCAAAATCCCCTTCCACCCCAGCGACCCTCCTCCCGTCTGCGCTAATCTCCTTGTGCCCATTGGACTGACTGCTTCAGTTCACTGAGACCCCTTCACCCAACAGCAGGACACATCATCATGGATTGGCCTCATTTGCGCACCTCCTCCTCATCGGCCCTGCCTGGATGAAGCACGGCCAACGGCACGTGGTGTCATGTGGGCACAAGACTTGTATATTAAACAATAATATAAACAAGAACACAAATTGTGTTTTGACATAGATAGCTAAGATTATAATTCATACTTTTGTTGTGTGTTTTTTCATTGATCCTTAATGATACCAAAGAGTAATCTGAAATCCAAGAAAATTCTATTCTTCCTGTCATCAAAGCTTAAAACTCTAATGTCTTGGTCATATTACACCTAATAGGGCCAGCTTTTGAAGTGCTTACAGACCCCCTCACAGTCTACGTATAAGGGTCCCATGGGGTATGAGAGGAACCCATTTAGTTTAGCCTTTAGCTCGCTTTGTGTTACACATTTGATGTTTCCATAGTGACAGTGGACAAGTAGATACCCCCACCCCTTCCCACACACACACCCTTTCCCCCCCCCCCCCCATTTTGAACACCATTAACACACCCCGCCCCCTTTTTGTCTTTAGTGGGGTGTCCCCACTCATCCACATCAACTGACCATGCTGTGCTTAGCTGAGGCTAAATGGGTAATGAGGTTTATTTCCAGCCCTCAACATGGTACTTTTAACAACATTTGCAGTTTATTCAAACTTTTCAAAACTCAAATATACAAAATAAGTAGGATATAAACCTTTGCAACAAGTGAAATGACAGATTAGTGAAGAGAAAACTAGCTTCTTACAGTATAACCTGAATATGTGTACAATTCAACACTTTTAACAGGATGTTTTTCCATTGTTTTGCAAGATCATAATGTTAAATTATGATGATTTCAGAACTCACCCCCAACAAACTCTTTGACTTGGAATAATAAAGAGCATCAAGTCCTTTTAAAGATCTTCCTCATGAGTCTGAACAAAGCGCTGTCCCTGACAGCCATGCAGGTTTTCTCCCACAGGCTCTCCTCCTTCCACAGACCCCGACCCTTCTTCTCAGCTTTCACCTCTGCCCTATGCAGCCGTCTGTGTAGGCGCCAGTAGAGGCGAGAGCCGGGCTGGACTCCTGCTATGGGCGCAGTGCGAGCCAGGCCAAGCTTGAGTACCTCTTCGTTTATGTAGTAGCTCCATATTGACCCCTTCTGGAGAGACGAAAGAAGACAAGGAAAATCAGAGCAAAAGCATTTAGGTCTGTAATCCACTGAATATTAAGCACATGACAAATGAGCCACATTTATGGTATTAGATCCTTTACTTTGCTTTGGGACACCAAACAGTGCAGTATGTCGTCTTCTCGACTGATAAGTTTGAGCCACACCGTGTCAGCAGGAGCAAGATTCTTCTGCAGCCATATCTTTCCCTCCTGTGTCAGCTCCACCCCGGCAAGATGCACCAGCAGTGGAGGTGTGGACACATCTGAAGAGGACACAGAAGGATCATGCACAGTATATGTCACATCAAACCAAAGACTCCAGCTGGCACTCTGTACTTTGCATTAAATTTGACAGCAGAAAAAAGAAATACAGTACGTAGAAATATTTAACACAGAACATTAATGAGAAGTCCAAAGAAATACAACGTCCCAAATAGTTGGAATAGAGTCAAGAAGAGCAAATGCTGTATTTGAAACACACACTGGTCTCCTCATGTGAGTCCTTCACATGAAAATACATGATGCTGCAGTTTAAATTAAGCCTCCAGATTTCATTGCTCAGTGAGTACCATGATTTAATAAATCAGCTAACAGGCTTATTTTTCACCCCATCACAACACGATGATAAAGATGTGTCTGACTTTTACAAAGTAATAACGCCATAATGACATTTTTTGGGTAACAAGATCACAAAAAGGTGCACACGTTGTAGTTTGTAGTACTACTAAAGTGATGAGACAGGCAGTGTATGAATATCAAGTTTATTTTAAAGTCCTAATTAGGTGCTCTTGTGAAGGACACAGAGTATGTCAAAGCTGGAAAACAAGCTGCCATAAATCACTGGTTCTTATCTGAATTTGGGTCATTCCAAGACAGCTTGTTTATATCGAGCCACTTATTGAGAAAAATCTAAATCCTTGTCAAGTTCAGGTTCTCTCCCCAAATTAATGTCCAGAGTTATATACTGCCTTTCGTCCAATGACGGCTGGGATAAAGTCCAGTCACCCTGCAGCCCTTCTTTAACTGAGTGGGTACAGACAAGTACAGATGGACTTTAACCATTAAGATCTGTTGTGTATAAATATATATATATATATATATATATATATATATATATTTCATGATTTCACACTAAGAAGACCACATGATTACCTTTGTACTTTGACAGTAATGGAGACAGAACTGGCAGGTAAATTGGCACATGTTCCACCTCAATTCCCTTCTCGGTGATGGAATTAACTTTCCCTCGAAGACTGACATTCTTCTCAATGAATCGAGCAGGGATCTCGCACACAGCTTGAAATTTTGTGATCTGTAGCGTCGGAAAGAGTAACAGTTAATTACTCACTTATGTAAGATTTGTGAAAATGTAACATCCTATCTGTCTAATGGTATAGTACATAACAGAACATTTGGACTCTGCACTAAAGCGAAGAATATTTCCAATGCTTGATGCAACAAAAGGCACTTACATTTTTATTTTTGGTCAAGTATTCAGTGTGATTCGTACAGAATGGAGGGGGGATTTTCTCCTAGCATGGGGCTTTGTTCCTTACCAGCTTAATGCTCCTGGCAATCACAAGGACTCCGACTACAGCCAGTCCGGTACTAATATTCTGCACGAAAGACAAGATACCAGAGAGGGGTGTTTATGTGACAGGATGACAGTGACACCTAAACCTGTTTGTCTCATCAGTAAACTAAAAGCTACTGTCTACAACTGAGGGTGGGTTTGCCAGGCCATCCATTTGGAGCCAGGTGGTCAGATTTTATGCAGCTGTTTTTTCTTCCTTTTGTTGTTGTTTTTTTTTTTGCAAACATTTCTTCATTTCCTCTTCCATCACCTAACCTACCAGGCCACCACCCATTGAGGGCGCAGGCTGCTCACATGCGACAGTGAAGTGAGCACGCTGTACATTTTGTCGCCATAAGTCAATGCTTTCAAACAAAAGAGACTCCTACCCGCACAACAGTCAAATTGTCATCTGCAAACTGAGATATGACAGACACGACATTGCGAGACGAGATGTTTCCTTTGTCTCTTTGTTGTCTGTCCCTCGTTCCCTCCTCAGTTTCAGTTTCTCCGGTAGTCTCCGGCATGTTGTTGACATTTTCTCGATGCATCCGACGCCCCGCCTTTTTGGGTGGGACGTTCACGGAAGGATTGTGTCGAGTCTCCGCCCGCTCGCCGGTCCGGTTGGGGCATGACAGAATGGCCTTAAAGTTAGACTTTAACTGCACCTCATGTGAATGCTTGAAAACGGCCCGTGCAGTTGACACTTCTAAATTTGAACGCTAAAAGTTAAATCATGTTACAAGCTCAATTAGCTCAGTAATGCAGCGCGTGCAACATATGTATAGTGGAGCAGAGCTTCATCGTGTTCACAAACACCGAAGGGATCAGTGGCAACATGACCTAAAAGATTTAAAAACTGCAAAACAAACCCAATGCAAAAAGCAGATGGATCAGTCGGACAACAGAGTTCCAGTTTATAACTCATAATCATTTTGGGGGGGGAAGTCCTTTTTTTCCCCTCTGTAAATCTGAATTGAAATCGTCACGTGAATCAGACATTGCATTATAACTACATGGTGAGACATGTTTAGTAAAAGACATCACCCAGGAGTGACTGTATGACAGATGCACTGGAGCTCTCGTCTTGTAAACTGTGAAGTCATGGGGCTGCTTGAAGCCGAATGACGCCCCCATTACCACAAATTGGCCAATGGGAGCTGAGAGGCAGAGTTGTCCTCCTGGCCGCCATTAAAGAATTCAATCCATGAACTCAAATAATGGAAATCTGCAGGACCCATGGATCAGGCAGAAAAGACCAGCCGATGAGTAGCCTCGCAGATTTGGCATTTCGTCTGTTTTAGCCGCCTTTTTACTATGACGGAGCACTGTGGTGGTTTTAGTGCAAAGGAGTGCGGTGTAGCTAATTGTTTTATTTAGCTAGCAGGCTAGCGTTTGAGCTCTGGTATGTTAGCTTGTGAGCTAACAGGCTAGCAGAGATCAGGGGGAGGGGAGAGTTCCTTTGCTTTGAAATTGTTTCAGATGAGCTAGCTGACATTAGCATTAGCATCCAGGGCACTAAGATTTTGCGATGAAGTTTCTTTTAGTTTTCGAGCTCATATTTCTATTGCACATATAACTTTTCTAGTGTTGGATTTAACGCTAGTCTGTTCATGTTTTGGGAGTGCTGACTGTTTGATGTTACGGTTATGTGACCGCGAGCTTGTGGCTAACCGGATCAGACAATACATTTCAGATAGGATTGATGAATCGAATAGCCAGAAGCCTACAGTTGAAGCTATCTTACTGTCTGTCTAACGTTAGCTTAGCCACTAGGCTAGTGGTGGCTAGCGCCGGGTAGAAGTTGTCTTGACTTGCTGTAGCTAGTTGTAGCTAGCAGTTGGTCAGCGCTTTAACGGGAGCATTACAACTGAACATAGTTTCGCTGGCGAGTTTCGCAGGTCAGCTAGAGCCCCGAAGGTGATTGAGACAATGGGCTTTAACGTTACCACCACGCAGTGAAAGGATGAGTTCGTGCTTTGTACCAAACGGGGCCAGTTTGGAGGACTGCCACTCCAACCTCTTCTGCCTGGTAAGACTCAGCTCTCTGCGCTAGCTAGCTTTAGCTGTGATAGTACGAGGCCAGAAAGCCATTTTGGCTAATAAGGCAACAAGCTTTGTAACGTCAGTTGCAGTCTGGCGTGAAGGCATCAGGCCTGCGACTTGCAAATCGTGATCCAGTTAACTTTCATAACAGAGAAAGCACACACTGTACGGAAACTTTTGGGAAAATAATTGTTAACGACAGTGGCATGATCATGACTTTACACTGCAGTTGTTACACGGTTATTGAGCGTGAGCTACGTGATAGTAACAAACAGGTCTGTTCAACAGGCAAAGGATTTAAAGCACACCCCGTTAAGTTTAAACAGTCCTAACTTTTAATCAAAACCTCGAAGTTATGTCGAACTGACAATATTATAAATGGCAAAAAACAACCTCGATTATAGACTTGCGTCCATTCACTTAGTAACTTTAGAAGGAGTTACTCCTCCATGCTTTAAGGCAACTGGTTATAAATGCATGAAAAATAACCTTTTAACAACATCAGAGACAGTTTTTGTCTTGTTTTTAAAATCTTTTTAATTGATTTAGTCCTGTTTGCCAGAAAAGGCTGCTTTTTACTTTGTTACTGCTGTGTGTGTAATGGAACGAATACATGCATAGCTATGCAGTCAGCAATTGACAATTGGCTTAATGCTGTAAGCTCTGGTATGTGTTCATTCTCACACTGTTTTTCTTTCCCCTTTAGGCTGATTTGACTGGAATAAAATGGCGGCGTTTTGTGTGGCAAGGACCCACTTCTTCGCCCATCCTTTTCCCAGTGACCGAGGAGGACCCGATCCTGTGTAGTTTCAGCCGATGCATGGCTGCAGATGTGCTGAGCGTGTGGAGGAGGCACCACAACCCAGGTCGCAGGGAGCTCTGGCTTTTCTGGTGGGGGGATGACCCCAGTTTTGCAGAGCTTATCCACAACGAGCTCTCAAGTAAGTGAATGGAACATTTGCATCCGTTTGGAAGGATTTAGGCACCCCCCAAACATACAGACTTTTGGCTTACCAAATCCATCTTTCATTCATCGGTGGACATTGTGACCTCGTTGTACTGTTTATAATTATTCATCCGTAGTCTTGAGTGGATGGTTAATGATTTGAGTGACCACTTAAAATTAGTTTTCTTTAATAAAACTCTGTGCCAGTGAGTACTATCAACAAAAAAGGACAAAACTTGTTGGGTAGAAGATTGGAGAAATGAATACGGTAAATCAACACGATTAGCAGCTATTGGAGAAGTGTTCACGGTGAGACATGAAGCTGTGTCTCAGTGTTCTGGCAAATCTGCCGCCATTGGCTGCGTCGGCATTAAACAGGTGTGTAATATCCAAGCGTACCTAAAACAAATGCTCATACACTCCTGTCCCCTCTCCGGTTGCCTCGGTCTTGTCAGATGCTCCAACTCCAGTGAAGTCAGAGTCTTGCTTGCTTTTATTTCTCAAGTTGCAGCAGGTTTGTCGTGCTGCCACCAGAAGTTACAGTAAACTGCTATGAATGTGAGAGCAGCGCTGTCAGTTCATGGCTGAAGTATTTCCATTCATCTGTCGTGTCAAGACCTCCTTCGCTTAGCAGCTGCAGCTCAGGAGGAAAGAGCAGTTATCTGCTGATCGGAAGGTAGTGGTTCCTGTAGCCACAGGGCCACATGTGAGAGTGCCTGGGCAAGGCACTGAACCCCATGTTCAGTTTGACTGGAAAAGCATTATAAAAGTAGAAGTTCATTTACTTGGCAGCCTTTAGTTAGGGTTTAGGAACGTTGTTTCAGATCATTCTCTCAAACATTTTTGTGCAGTTGAGATAGATTGAAGTAACTGTCAGCTAAGGCGGGACATTAAACCCCCAAATTAACTTATGTGTTTTCAAAGCAATTCCCAGCCCCATATTTGCCCTAAATCTGAGGTGTATTCAAGCACAGCCTCATCAGTAAACTGAGCTTGATCACAGGCTAAATTCAGGAATAGTTCTTCATGCTGTAGAGCTGCAGTGCAAACAGTCACATGCAATATACGTTGGGAAAGCCCAGTTCGTGTTTAAACACGTTACATGTTAGATAGTAATGCCGACCCTGCGCCTGTGAGGGGCTCATTGCATTTTTAATGATGCGGAGGCTGAGAAGTAATGAAGGCCCAGGTGATTTAGACTCTTTAAAGCCTTGTGGAATCTATTGGCTCTCGCTCACAGAGGCACTAACTCGCATGGCGTCTGCTGTGACGCAGCCTGGGTTATTCGACCTCGTCTTTGTTCCTGCTTTGTTGACATTTTTATCGGCTAAAAAAATGCCCTTTAGGGGCTGACGCATTGACAAGGTTTTTCTGCGTGTCGTCTTGGAGGGGCTTGAGCATATCTGTTAAGCTGCATAAACACTTTCTCATGAGTAGTCACCAGCAGAAGAATAGGCATCATGCTTTTCCTGGTAATACATACAGAATGTTTTTTTTATTGCCTGCTTGTTGCTGACGGGGTTGAATTTTTCATTTTGGATTGTGTAATTGCTCAGTACTGCATAAGTTCACCTGTAAGCTTTATGGTTTCAAACCAAACTAGGCCTCGACACATGTTGGAAAGACCACTGACGCTTTACAGTTCGCATTCATCACCAGGCAGACATGAAATTTGAGGTTACATGTAAACTGTAGATGTACTAGGAAGAAGAGGCCTTTGTTTGTTTGAAATGTTGTAAACTCACGCGTCTGCCTCGTTGCAGGTGAGGAGAATGGGGAGTGGGAGAGCGGCCTGTCCTACGAGTGTCGGACGCTCCTGTTCAAAGCCATCCACAACCTGCTGGAACGCTGCCTCATGAACCGCGGCTTCGTTCGCATTGGCAAGTGGTTCGTCAAGCCATACCAGAAGGAGGAGAAGATCATGAATAAAAGGTAGGTCCTTTTGGCTGGGTGGCTGCTCTGGCAGCAAATTGCAAGGCCCAGCTGCCGCCACCGTAAACAAATGCACCAAAAGGTTCAGAAGTCAGGAAACGTGTTCAACAGCCAGCAACACGTCAAGAAGCCCATTTCCAGATCACAGTTGTGCGCTTTTAAAGCAAGAAACAGCAAAAGTCCTTTTCACTAGAAGTGCACCCCTTGCTCATCCAGGCTCTCTTAGTCACTTTCTTTGAAACCCAAAAGAAGAAGCAGAGACGCTGAAGGTAAATATGGCAGCAGAACAGCAGGTCATGAGTTGTGCTTGTGCTGGCAGGCCAAACATTAGTCACTATCTGCTGCTGAAGTATTTGTCAAAGTTTGTGGGGTGGGGGTGGGTCGACTGACACAATTTTCTTAACACAGAATTGGAAGCATGGTGTCATATTTGGGAACATTGCCGCAACGCTTTCTACATAAAGACTGCGTGTGAAAGGATGAGGTCGAGGAATTAGCGGCACCAATTATTGATTCATTTATTTTTGAACCCGATGAATGATCTTCATGTGCACATCCACTCCACTAAGATGTTTTCTAACCTGCCAGAAATTCTCTTTGACGGGTTGAAGGATGGGCGAGTTGTAAGAGAAAGCGAGAGCATGGATTTTCATGTAAGATTTTTCAGACAGAATTTTCTAAAGCAAACTTAAAGCGAGCTCAGGTTTGACATAGCTTTTAGCTGAACGATGTTCCTGTCGACAGTCTCCGTTTTGGGAAAAGTCACTCTGCTGTCACTCAGTCTATCGGATCTACAGTTAACCTTAACTGCAAAATGCTCGTTAGTTGCTAGGCAACGCGCCCAGCTTCGGTATAGGCGGGCGCTAATTGGAGCTGCCGCATCTGAAAGTGTTGCTGTGTGATCAGACAAACGAGATGCTGCCGGGGGTTGGGGCGCTGCTGTTTTTCACCAAACCGTGCCAAAACTAGTCATTCACACATTTAGCACGCCAGCGGCGGCGGCGTTGCCCTCAGCCGGGTTGGATTCTGGGGGCGTTGGCTGGATGTGCTGTGGTAGAAACTGATCTCTCTTATTCAGAGTGATTTCCTTTGTCTTAATTCAGGGACCGGCAGATACAGTTATGTTCAATGTGCACCGTGGGTTGTTGTTGATCTTACGCTCAGTGGAGCACAGTTAGTCAAGCAGCTGTCGATTGTGTGTTAGTATTGTTTTGGATGGGGTACGTTCAGGATTAATAGTAATGCACTGATATATTAGTGACTTTCTGCTGCTATTCGGCTCTGAATGAGGGAGTATGCCTACCTAAAGCTTTAACTATAGAGGTGTGTTTAAAGGAAACACAGCTGAGCATAAGAGTTTGGTGAATGAACTAAAGTTTTTTCTGAATGGTGTGTCAGGGAATGGTGCTAAGACATAACGGCAGCTCACCGGCCTAATGTTCTGCTCCTGTTGTGAAAGTTGTGCTTGACAGTTTCTCATCTGGGATTCAGCTGGATCCAAACTGCCGCAAGCTGAAATTAATGTCATTTCTCAGTTGGCGTCGTCATTTTAGAAACTGAGGGGAGCACAGTTCCATGGTCCAGTTTGACAGCGACATCTCTGCTTTTTTTTTTGCAAAGCAATGCAGCTCTGTGTTTGTTGTGTGGACAAACAAGCTCGAGCTGAACCAGCGGCGGGTAAATATCTGTATTTGGCGAAAGCTCAGATCCAGTGTCTCCTCCCCGGTGGGGGCAGGAGGAACTTTGGAGTTCCCTGACAGGTAAATCTCAGTCTGACCTTTTTGAGGATGTTCCTCCATAAATGAATCGTGTTCAGCGGGCAGCTGTTTGGCCCAGTTCCATCTGGCTACATTTTCATTGAGTCTGTAACGTTTCAGTCGCTGTTAAAGAGCTGTTGCGTGAAAGAGGATGTGTTTTGTAGCTCACTAGTGTTCAGCTACAAGTGTCTGTGTGTGTGAAGGCTGCAGAGAATCACCTTTTTTACAGAAGAGACTGGCAGTCTTGCTGTCGCCTGCCCTCTCTGGCTGGTAAACACAGCAGGCTTTGGAAAATGCTGAGTGTGCACTGTGGTTTTACAGCAACCATGTCAACAAGGACTATTTTAGTGCTTTTAGCTGCCTGGACCTCCGGACATGGCTTGAAAAATAAGATGTTCTGACATTCACAATCGCAGCACAATATTTATCCGCCGGGGTTTGTCTTTGAGGCGTCTGTGCTCTTCTGTCAGTGGGTTTGACAAATCATTAAAACAGGTGAAACAGCTTTTGCTTTTCTTAGGTGGAATCTGTGGAATTAAGTTCCAGGACCAAGAACCAAAATGTTTTGCGTGATGTTCATCGTTTGGACGGGGTCTACTGTTATTTAGTGGTGGCTCTGAGGGGTTTATGCAAGCTGTTGTTGTTTTGTTTGGGTTATTATTTTATTGTTTACATTTGTTCTCGCTTACAAATCGGATCTCTCTAAACTATGAAATGCTTTTCTGTTTTTCGTTCCGTCTCTCGGCTTTGCAGCGAACACCTTTCTTGCGCCTTCACCTTCTTCGTCCACGGCGACAGCAACGTGTGCACCAGCGTGGAGATCGCTCAGCATCAGCCTCTGCAGAGACTGAGCGAGGAGCACCTCAGCCTGGTGCAGCAGAGCTCCAACCCCCTGCAAGGTGAGACCGCAGGGGTTCGGCCCAGCAGTTCAACCCTGAATGGAGCTGTTTGAAGCTTTGATGCATTTCCTCAGTTTTTAAAAAAAATAATCATTTTAATGGTGGTATTCGAACTTTGCTCTGCGCAGTCATCCTCAGCCCATACGGTTTAAACGGGACCCTCACCGGCCAGGCGTTTAAGATGTCAGACCATCCTACTCAGAAGCTCATAGAGGAGTGGAGGCAATTTTATCCCATTTTCCCCAATCCCAAGAAGGAAGTCCAGGAAGACAAGATGGAGGACTTAGACTGGGAGGATGACTCCCTGGCAGCTGTGGAGGTCCTTGTCGGTAAGGCTTTTTTATTCTTTTGCTAATGTGGGGACCGGTGAACGGGATACGATTAGGTAAGTTTCACTAAACTTTTATCTATGAATTCAAAACACAGGCCTAGTCATATTTATATTTAATTTACGTTTTCATAGAGATTCTTTAGACTTCAACAATATAATAACTACAATAACTTTACTGCACCAGTTAAATGTTGAATGGTTTTATGGATTCAGGCAACGCCTTCCAAAGAGGTTAGATAATAACATAATGAGATGATAATGAGCGCTCATTCCCATTAATACCCTTCTGATATTGTTGTCTGCATAGATTTGTTTGCTTTTCGTTGGATCATTCATTTTTATAATTGAAAAAACGTGTTTGGTTCCAGCGGGCGTTCGGATGGTCTACCCCTCCTGCCTGGTGCTTCTCCCCCTATCGGACCTACCCGCTACGGTCCCCCAGGGCTCAGCTAACACCCCGGGAGGCCAGTGTGGTGCTCAGCAGGGTCAGGCCGCTCCCAGAGATCCTGCCATATCCTCCGTCACCCTGACCCCGCCGACATCACCAGAGGAAGCTCATACTGGTAAGAAGTGGGCCTGCAAGACCGCCACGGAGGAACTCTCTCATGCTGCACTTTACTTATTGACCGTTTTTTTCCATTTCTTCTCTCCGTCTTTCTTTGGACTTTCCCAGACTATCAGCCGTCTCACCGGTGGCTGAAGTTGTCCTTTGCATCAGATTGCTACAGCTCTAACAATACTCTTCATGGGGGTAAAATCCCTCGTGGGCTGGCCAGCCAGATGGTGGAGTCGGTGTGGCAGGAGTATAACATCAACCGCACAGGGAACAAGTATGTTCAGTGGCCTCCCTTCTGCTGATTGAGCAATTCCTGTCAAATTTATATGCCTGTGCTGACGGGTGGGTCGTCTGTTTGCCTCCATCTCCAGGAGAAAGTTTACATCCTTGACAAACGGGGCTTGTGAGGAGGACTCAGACAAATCTGGCCTCTGGGACTTTGTGGAACCAACTTACAGGCCACCCTGCCACTGCTCAAGGTATGCCGCCGGCTTTCAGGTTCCCCCTTGCTTTTTGCTTCTCAGCTGAATTAAGGTGAAGGTCTGAATGAAGTGTTTTTGCCCCCACACAGACACAAAAGTCAGAAGCAGCGATCCAGCAGCACCTCAGGACACCCGCCGTCTTCAGGCCAGCCCGCCCAACCGGCCCCCAAGCACAAGCTCAGTGACAAGCTGGAGAAGGGGGAGAAGCAGCAGAGGAGGCCGCAGACTCCCTTTCACCACCGCAACTCGGTGAGCGAGGAGCAGGCGCTGGAGCCGCAGACCCCGAGGCTGTGCCCCCGACCACAGGAGGAGGGCTCCTATCCCAGCCTGCACCACGTGGACACGGCTCCACCCAAAGCGCCCTCGCTGCACGCACACGGCCCCCCCGCAGACCTCGTGGGATCCCCGCCCCCCCCTCCGCTCAGTCCACACCCCTGCGATCTGGCGGAAAGCGACATGACCCCAGGCGACATGAAGAGCTCCTCCACGCCCATCCACCAGCCGTTCTACCCGCCGTCGGTGGAGCCCTGTCTGCCGCCGCAGAAGGGCTCGTCCGAGGAGCACCGGCTGGAGAGCATGGCCATGTCTCTGCCCCTGCCTCCCAGCTACAGCGAAAGCTTGGAACCCGCCATGTTCGTGGGCTCAGCCGTGAGCCCCGGCGCCGACTGCAGCCACAACCCCTGGAAGTATTTCAACCTGCCCAGGAGGAAGGACTCAAACTTTGCGACTCCCCAGCTGCCTCTGGATAAAATGCAGGGCGACTGTGGAGGAGGAGCAGAGAGCGTCATCTCCGTCACAGAGTAAGTCGTCTCCCCTCTGCTCCCGCAGACATTTAACAGAACGCCGCTGCTTCGTTGAGCGTCCTGACATTTTCTCTCCCCTCAGGCTGATGTGCGACTCCTCGCAGCCCCTGAAGGTGTCCCAGGAGCTGGTCCGGACCTACGCCCAGCGGAGGAACAGCCATCTCCTGCACAGCACAGGGGACGGAGACCACAGTGAGGAGCCGGACCCTTATGCCTTCGTGGAGGGAGACGAGGAGTTCACCTTTACAGAGAAGAAAGACAAGGCTGGAGCTGAGAAGGAAGGCGGCAAGAAACACAAGGTGAGATCCTGCTTTGTTTACAGGTGTCTCTTCATCCTGTTTTTGTCAGCTCGTAAAGTGAGAACTGGGAGCTACAGCGTTGGTGTGTTAATATGAAGTGTTTTGTTGGACTTTTGGGTAGACGTTTTGGTCCCGTGTTCAGTTTCCTTTCTTCTCCTGTTGGGCATGTGCCTTTCTGTTCATAACAGTAAGAATGTGTCTTTGTGCAAGTCAAAAGCAGCCTGCTCAATAAAGAAGATAAGAATGATAAGAAGTTAATGTGGTCAGGGGTATTTGTGGTGGTAAAGTTTGCTTGAACTATTTTAGTCTCCCATATTTTGATTTGTGTTTGGGTTTGTGTGTGTGTGTGTGTGTGTATATATGCAGAATTATTCATATTCTGTCAACATCAGAAATGATATTTCTTCAATTTGATACAGTGTTAAAAACTGAAAGGAAACTTGCCTCATCGCAGGGTGCTCATATGTTCTTCTAGAGCTCATAATCACTTCCTGGTGCTTCATGGAGTTTAATACCAGTATAAAAAAAAAAAAAGCGGTAAACTCGATTAAGATCATTGCACAAATCACCTGTTGCATGTTCCTTGCAGGAAAATGTTTAATAGTACGAGGCTTAATGTTACGTGTTAAAAAGCTGCTCTTGGTAATTCCTGTTCTTTGTGTTTTAAATTCTGCAGGATGACGGGACTGGAACCTCTGCAGATGGTGAGAGTGGCTTCTTTTTTTGTTTGCTCCCAGCTTTGACATTTGATTAGATAAAACATGTGGAGCTCTGTATCTTATTGGAGGCCCTCCTTCCACAGATGGTCAGGGTCCATCCGGCAGTAAACCTACAGCCTCGACCAGCCTCACCCACGTCAAGGATTTGGTTGTTTCCTACAGTGACCTGGAGAAAATCTTCAACTCGGATGAAGATGAGATCACTGTAAGTGCATCAAGACGAACCACATGTTTGACTCGCCTTGAAATGTTCAGAGACTACTGCATTTTACCGTGAAACAGAGATGAAATACCGTCTGTTTTTTCCTCCGTCATGTAGCCGGGATCTAGAAGAGCTGGAATTGGAGCCGAGTTGGGTAAAAAGAATAAGCCAGGCACTCTAGATCCACTGCCTTCCATAAGTAAGCAAACCCAGCGTCAGGAACTGTTTGCGGGCCATATCGTTTTGGGACGTCTTTTCACAGAATGAACCCTTTTCTTTTCTTCAGGCTCAGTAGACCTAATCCACATGTTTCCCACCCCGCCCTCCCTGGAGCAGCAGGGCTTCTCCCCCATGAACTCCGGGAGCAACAGCCTGGAAACGGGGGCGGGTCTCACTCTGTTGGACAGCAGCCAGCTTAACAGCCACTTTAAGATGGAGGTGGAGGAGGGTTTTTGCAGCCCCAAGCCGTCAGAATTAAAGGTGCGACTTCTCAACAGAAGGAATGAAGCAGAACCTTTAAGATGCGTCCTTCCCGCTTTTGTTTTGGAGTAACTGATGGGTTTGTCTGCTTACAGGATTTCTCCTTTGTGTACAAGTCAGAGACATTTCAGTCTTACATTGGCTGCTCCATGTACGCCCCCCTTAAGACGCTACCTAGCCAGTGTCTGTTGCCCATCAAACTGCCAGATAACTGTGTGTACACGCCGAGCTGGACCATGGGCAAGATGGAGCTGATGCCCCCAGTACCCAACGTCAACCTCCTCACCAAAGACAGGTAAAGGCGATGGATGTTGGTGTGTTTTGGTATTTTTGTCCTTCAGAACAGGTGGCGTTTTGGGCGGATCATCACAGAGCAAATAACCATTAGCAAAGAACTACCTCTCAGCAGCTGTTAGATGTGTTTGTCCTCTGACGTTTTGGATGAGCAGCAGCTTGTTTCTCCAGACGCTAACATCGCAGGCGTATCATAGTGAGGCTGTCCGACCCTTTAGGAAACAATTGGCTCGTGACGTTGAGTTTATTTTACTTATTTATTTTCGGACTTCCTAGATGTCCGCTGCCCCTGATTTGGGACCCACTGCACACATAGTAAGAATGCCTCCCTCAAACTTCAGTACATTGGGGAGTCTAAACATCTGGAACTCGTTGCATAGCTTATTGTTGCACCGGGATCTGCCGGTTTAAGTGTCTCTCTGTGTGAATGAGAACGCATGTCCAGCCACATAAACTAACCATTGTTTATGTCTTTATTTCCTTGGAACAGTAACGTCCCGAGCGTGGAGCCAGACTACAGCCAGACCTACACTCCTCAAACCCAGACGCCCTTTTTGTCCAGCAGCGCCCCTCCCAGTAACAGCGGCGTCGGCATCCTGCCTTCTCCGGCCACGCCGCGCTTCTCCGTACCCACGCCTCGCACGCCACGCACTCCCCGCACCCCCCGCGGCCCATCCAGCGTGCAGGGCTCCATCAAGTACGACAACTCGGACCTTTACTCTCCGGCATCCACGCCCTCCACCTGCCGGCCGCTCAGCTCGGTGGAGCCGGCCACCGTGCCCTCCATCCCGGAGGCCCACAGCCTGTACGTCACCCTCATCCTCTCCGAGTCGGTCATGAACCTCTTCAAGGACTGCAACTTCGACAGCTGCTGCGTGTGCGTCTGCAACATGAACATCCGAGGGGCGGACGTGGGCGTGTACCTCAAGGACAGCGGCGAGGCGCAGTACTCCTGCACGTGTGGCTTCAGCGCCGTCACCAACCGCCGCTTCGGCCAGTCGGCCGGCCTCTTCCTGGAGGACGAGCTGGACGTGGTCGGGCGGGGCTCGGACGCCAGCCGGGACACGGAGCGCTCCTTCGAGGAGCTCCGGGCTTCCACGACGCACAAAGCCGGCGGTCTGAAGGAGAAGCCGCCAGATGAGCTCATTCTGCTGCTGCAGGACCAGTGCACCAACCCGTTTGCCCCGATGGCCGGCGTGGAGTACTCTAAGGCGGGGGCGGTCCCCAGCTCCTTCCTGAGGGTCGGAGAGAGGGACTGCTACAACGACTGCTACATGGCGCTGGAGCACGGCCGACAGTTCATGGACAACATGTCAGGAGGCAAAGTAGATGAAACACTAGTGAAAAGCACCTGTCTCCATCAGTGGCCAAAATGCAAATGTATGTATCATCTTTTGCCTCTTTTTCTTAAAGAATGATCTCTTTATGTTGACAGCAGTAACGGTGAGCTAAGACCTTTTTTTTTTTTTCCTTGTAGCAGCGGACATGAGCAAGCTGTTCTCTCAGGACGTGCTCCGGGTGTTGCTGTCCCTCCAGCCGGTGCTGCAGGACACCATTCAGAAGAAGAGGAGCGTGCGCTCCTGGGGTGTGCAGGGACCTCTCACCTGGCAACAGTTCCACAAAATGGCCGGCAGGGGATCATACGGTATATGAGGAGAGCAAAAGGGCATTCTGAACACAATTACGGATTCAACCGTTGTTAAATGAGCGTTCTGTCATCTTTCCATCACAGGCACAGACGAGTCCCCGGAGCCTCTGCCCATCCCGACCTTTCTGGTCGGTTATGAGTATGACTTCGTGGTGCTGTCTCCATTCGGGTTGCCATATTGGGAGAAGCTTCTCCTGGATCCGTTTGGAACCCAGAGAGATGTGGGCTATGTCGTCATCTGCCCAGAAAACGAGGCCCTGCTCCGTGGCACAAAGACCTTTTTCAAAGATCTGAGCGCGATGTACGAGGTATGCAACAAGTCCAAAACAACAGGTTTTCAGAGGTTTCCCTGTCTCAACACAGCTGACCCGCATCAATGCGCCATTCACAGGCCTGAGTACAGCTTAACAATGACAGAAGAGATCCGTTTTAACCAGAATCTGCTGCGTAGACGCAGGAAAATGTCAAAAACCTGCCGGATCACGACACTGAACGATCTATCACCTCAGACTCTGCCCTAAAGATTGGATTCACAGCGTTGGGTTCTCTTTCTCTCAACAGGCGTGCCAGCTGGGGCAGCACAGGCCCATCTGCAAGAGTCACCCAGAGGGTATAATGACGGTCGGCAGCACAGAAGGCAGGAGCCTGACGGAGCAGCCCCTCAGTGACTGGTTCCTCAGCATGGCCGCCAGAGACGCAAACAATGACGCCTTTAAGAAGCTCAAACTCTTCGCTCAAGTGTGCCGCTACGATCTAGGTAACGATTAAAATGAGTCTATGGGGGAGCAGCACGGTTTCTAAGTATTGGGGAGTAATCTTTGCCTCTGTTTCAGGTCCATACCTGTCAGAGCAGCCTTTGGACAGCTCCCTGCTGTCCCAGCGCAGTCCCGCCCCGGCGGCCTCCTCCTCCCAGACCTCCGGCTCCTCCGGCCCCTCCTCGGGACTCCCGAGCACCAACACTACCAGCACCAGCTCTGCCCCCGTCAGCAGCACCCCTCCCTCCTCAGGCCCCCAGACAATTGGGGGAATGGCCTCCGCCAAGCCAAGTTCCTTCTCGCCATTCGGGACAGCGGCCTTTCAGGGCAGCGCCACTCAGAACGGACCTCAGTCAAACCCTCAAGTCGCAGGAGGTCTGGTTGAAAACGGCTCCAACCAGCCGCAGGCGCCCACGGAGGCTCCAGAGAGGTACGACACCGCCCACTCTCCTACAGCCGAAAAACACTATGCAGCACTTTGTGTCCATTCCACACCTCGGTGTACAAAAGGTTCTGCGATTATGTGTCTTCTGCTCTGTTTTGAGAGAAGTTTTCCAATCAGATAATCAAATAGCTCGCAGTTTAAGCTGCAGAAACAGAACGAGAGCCGTTCAGCTCCCGCTAACGCGCATGTTTGTGTCCAGGAGGCAAAACGACTGTGAGGCAGGGCACCGACAGATGTGAGAGTAACTAGAGAGAAAGGTCTTTTGAACCCAAGCTGAAATCTCATCAGCTTTGCTGTTTTGTTCACTTGTTTTTTGTTCATTTTATTCACATTTATTTCCCTTCTCCCTTCTTTGGGGGTAAAAGCTGAGATTTCTCTCCATCTAACCAACAAGGACAGATTCAAATGAGATGATAAGATCTAAATAACATGAATTGTGGGGTTGAAAAGTCTTTCAGAATTGAGAATAAGCGTCAATGTAACTAATGTCTGATTTGTTCTTGCAGCACAATGGAGAGAGACAAAGTGGGAAAGCCAACAGACGGAGAGTCTCATGCTGTGTCTTACCCGCCCGCCATAGTGGTCTACATCGTGGACCCCTTCGGCTACGAGGACGCAGACAGAGGCGTCCACTCCAGCGCCTTCTCGCTGGGCCTGCTGCGCTGCTACATGGAAATGCTCCAGTTCCTCCCCTCTCGGATCAGAAACGCCATCTCTGTGCAGGTTCGTCATTACGTGCGCCTCTGCGAAGCTTCTAAACACGCCATCTTTGACCCGAGCCGCTCGGCTGCCTGTGACGGTTCAGAGCTAAGCGGGTGCACGTGAGCTCCTGGGGAACAGGGGAATTATTAGCAGGCACTAATGGAGGCGCCGACTGCCACACCTGTTGTAGTGAAACCAGGTTGCATCAACATGCCGGAGGGAGCGCTGAGGCATTAGAGGTGTGAATGATGAGCTAATAGTCTCAGCTGTGGCTCCTTAGGTCAGGATTTAGAATGCGTGCCGTCTTCCCACAGCAAACATGGGTTTTTGTTTTGTTTTTTTAATTTCCTTTTAAGAACTCTTCTAACAGTGAAAGGCGCTTTGACCGATCCACTTTTTGAGCACATATTTTTTAAGGTGCTGTGAGTTTGAGTTGGACGTTATTTCTCCTCTGTCAGATCGTTCCCTGCCAGTATCTGCTGCAGCCGGTGCACAGCGGCCAGCGCCACGTCTACAACCAGCACCTGAAGTCGCTGGCCTTCTCCGTGTACACGCAGTGCCGCCGGCCCCTGCCCAGCTCCACCAACTTCAAGACCCTGACGGGCTTCGGGCCGGGGCTCGCCATCGACATGGCGCTAAAGAATCCAGAGGTGAGCTCAGGTTGTTTAATACGCGGGGCTGTCCACGTCACACCGCCTCGCTTTGAAACTAACGGACATCTCCCTCCCCCCGGTGCAGCGGCCGGAGTGCCCGCGTCTGTACACGCCGCCCTTCATCCTGGCGCCGGTGAAAGACAAGCAGACGGAGCTCGGGGAGACGTTCGGCGAAGCCTCGCAGAAGTACAACATCCTGTTCGTGGGCTACTGTCTGTCTCATGACCAGCGCTGGCTGCTGGCCTCCTGCACCGACCAGCACGGGGAGCTCCTGGAGACCTGCATCATCAGTATCGACGTCCCCAACAGGTAACGAGCGCCCGTTCACCCCAGGAAAAAAAACAAACGAACAACCCAGGTGTCGAGTTTTGAACAGGATAAAATGTGTGTGCAGGGCTCGCAGGAAAAAGAGCTCGGCCAGACGAACGGGTTTGGAGAAGCTGTGGGAGTGGTGTCTCGGCCTGGTTCAGCTGACGTCACTGCCGTGGAGGGTGGTGATTGGGCGGCTGGGCAGGATGGGCCACGGCGAGCTGAGAGGTGAGGCGGCGTCCTGCAGGCAGGGGCGGTTTAGGTATTTTCCCCCCCACAAACGCACACACTGACGTGGCCTCTTCTTGCTCCCGTTCCAGACTGGAGTATTCTGCTGAGCAGGAGGAACCTGCAGTCCCTCAGCAAACGTCTGAAGGAGAAATGCCGGATGTGCGGGATCTCCGCCGCCGACACTCCCAGCATCCTCAGCGCCTGTCTGGTTGCCATGGAGCCACAGGGTTCATTTGTCATCATGCCAGGTAAAGGAAGCCTTACACCTGGCTTCGCTTAAAAAGGTCAAATAAAAAAAAAAAAGAGACTGGGCTCTTAATGCCGATGCTTTCTCTATTTCTCTCCCTCATCAGATTCAGTGTCGACCGGTTCAGTGTTTGGTCGCAGCACCACGCTCAACATGCAGACCTCGCAGCTGAGCACGCCTCAGGACACATCCTGCACGCACATCCTGGTGTTCCCCACCTCCGCCATGGTGCAGGTCAACACCAACACCTCGGAGCCCATCGACATCAACTTCAACCCCATAAATCCCGGTAGGTCCCGCTACTCAGCGAAACGGGCTCGTTTTCCAGATCCACCCGTAAACATATTTGCGTCGTCCCGTGTTTGGACACGGACACAAACTCAACCTGCTCACCTTTGTCCTCAGATGGATCCGATGGCATGGGCATCTTTGATTTGTTTGGTAATGACATGGATCACGACATCGTGGATCCAGATATCATCAGCATCCTGCCCAATTCCCCCACCACCTCCCCCGTTCACTCTCCTGGCTCCCAGTACCATCAGGGAGGAGATGGAAGCAAGGTCAGTCACCTCCTTATGAGACCCAACAGACCAAAGTCAGAACGAGATATCGACTGTGGAGAGAAAAAAAAACACATCTCTGAAAATGTAGCCTCATTCCTAGAGATTAAATGAGCGGGATTCTTAAATGAATAACCCGGCGCCACGCTCCGCATATGATTAACAAGCAAATGGACTTTGGTGTTGTGTTCTGCCATTAACCGGATCGATGCTGCCTGCAGGGTCAGAGTGCCGATCGCATGGAGTCCCACGAGGAGGCTCTGAACATCCTGCAGCAGCCCATGGCTTTGGGTTACTTTGTCTCCACAGCAAAGGCTGGACCACTGCCCGACTGGTTCTGGTCGGCCTGCCCTCAAGCCCAGAACCAGTGCCCGCTCTTCCTTAAGGTAAACCTCAGCTCTCAGTTTTATTCTTTCCCGTTACATCTGGAAACCACCTCCGGTCTAATGTCCCAGACACCTGCAGACGCCTCCATCTCTCTGCTCTTTATTGGTACTTGATCAGTTTAAGAAGACTTTCCTCCTGATTGTTGTTGGTTTCAGGGCAGAGACTGTTGATGAGTTTTTGGGCATCACTGGGCATCCCGACGCCTAAACGTCTGTCCTTCTTTTCCCCCAGGCCTCTCTGCACCTACACGTGTCTTCTGTCCAATCAGACGAGCTTCTGCACAGTAAACACTCCCACCCCCTGGACTCCAACCACACCTCTGACGTGCTCAGGTGAGCGCACACCAGCCGGCCGTCTCTCAGAGTAAGCGCAGCGCTATCTGTGGCTCTAACCTCTCTCTCTTTCTCTCTCCCCCTCTGCCCGGCAGATTTGTTCTGGAGCAATACAACGCCCTCTCCTGGCTGACGTGCGACCCCGCCACCCAGGACCGGCGCTCCTGCCTGCCCGTTCACTTTGTGGTGCTCACACAGTTGTACAACTTCATCATGAACATGCTCTGAACTCTAAAACAGGATCAAACTTCAGAGACGGGACCGACCGGAGGAAACGCTCAGACAAGCCGAACTCTGTGCAAATGAAGAATAAGGACCTCACACTCCATCAGGGCCTTCCTCCTTCTCTTCCTGCTCTGATGTATCTCACAGTGCGCTGACTGGAAAGTCCCAATCAATCAATCAGATGCCAAGAATCCATTTTAGCATTTTGGATGATCAAGGGACGTTTCATAAGGAGAATAAATTGTCTTTTTAATGACTGTAGATGCAATCTATGAAATTTTATCTTAATGAAATGCCTGCATATATTATTTATTGTAAGTTTTTAAATGTGGAATTTTTAATGCTTAATATCTTTTATATATTACAAATCCTAGAGGGTGTGTACATCTCACTGTAAAGGAATTGGTTTAAAAAGTGTAATTTTTCTCAATTAGAACACGGAAAAACCTGTTCAAGTGAATTTGCTGTAGATTGCTTTTAGAATATTATTTTTTCAGAGGGTACAGACCTTTCTATTTGCCATGCTGTAAAAATGAAGTAAAAGCTGGCTTGGGCATTTGTGTCCCACCCAACAAGTGGATGAGACTTACCTCTCTGTCTGCTTCGAGTCTCTCGCACAGTAATTCAATGAGCTCTGAAGAGGAATAAAAAGGTACATTGTCAGATTATATATTTTATATAACAGATTTAGGTAATTGTGTGTATATGTGTACATATACCTGTGTGCCGCTACTGATGGTGCAGCTTATGTTTTAGGAATAAAGTGCGTCTACCTTAAAAGGGTTGCTGTTGGTTGTTATTGAGAGTAAAAAAAGAAAAAAAAAAGGACTTTGGTAGAAAATAAAACGGGCTACTATCACGTCTATAGATTCATAATACAGGAATAGGACGTTAACGGCCTCCATAATCGGTCGGGCGTATTGGTGCACGGCTTAAAGTTTAGATAAGTTTAGTTCCTCGGCTTAACAATTAATCATTTGCATTTGAACAGACTTAAAATAGCCAAGCTGATAAACTCTATTGAGGGGTATGATGTCAGCGACAGTATGCTAGATAATGCAGGCTGTGAATGTGCAAAATGATTCAGCTGCTGCGAGGTGCCTAATGAGTCTTGGCACATTGGTGAATGGTGGCTTATCATGCGTATTGGATTGTTTGGAGAGTGAACAACGCACCAGCAGCTTTAACCCTGCCGCACTAACAGGATTTGAATGGTTAGTGAGAATGGAATTAGCTAATCAAGGAGAACATGTCATCCCAAAGCTTCATCCAATCAGCACCTTATGGTCTGCTTAATGGGATCCAATGGGAGGGCAGCCCACTTTTGTCTGGAACCTCTCGGGACATCCAGCTCGAGTCGGTCTGCAGAGCTCCAAAGCTCAGGGTCGGTTTGGAGAAGTGTTTCCACAAAGGAAGCAAACCTGAAGCTCCAGTGGCAGCCGGCCTGTCTGTGGACAGAAACATGACTTTTTAGCTCAGAGGTGATCTGACGTGCTCGCCCTGCTGAAATCCATTATTTGGAGAAAAAAAAGAGGTGTTTCCAGAACAGCTGGATCCTCCAAACTGCTAGTTTTACCATAAATTATTACACTGGAAAGATAATAACAATGTTCATGTTCTAAGAATTCCAAAGCAGCTTTAAAGTTGTTTCAAATCTACATTCCATTTTAAGATACATTTTCTCTCATCATGCAAATCATCATGATTGACTGACTGAAGGACATCAGAACTCCTCTTAAAATTGTGGGAATTTCATTTCTGCACATGACCTCACAAATCTTTACTTATTATTTGTTATTGGGCTGTAACTAAATCAAATCATCTTTAATCCTAACAGTGCCAGTGCTAAGGATTACTATAAGGAACTTTTTTTAAATAAGAAGAACTTGTTTGACTCTTTAACCAAAAGCTTTAAAAAAAAAATATGTATATATATATATATATATATATAATTTTCTATTTTTCTGTAGAATTTGATTTGTAAAAAACAGTTGTATTTAACAGGTTCTTTTAAAACAAGGTTTTGACCTTGAGACGATGGAAATCTTTTAAAAACCTGTTCACTAAAATAGGTTTGCATTATGAGGAGTCAGAAAAGGAAAGCTCTGGCGCTTCAACAGATTTCTCCTACATTCCACACGTACACAGGGAGGATGTAAAGATGCGGAGATGTGTTTTGGTCATTTCTCTGTGAGGGTTTTTGTGTCTGCCCGGAGTCTCTTTGAACCTCTCTGCTCCCACACAAGCTGTCTTCCCCCAAATTGAATCCCAAAGGTTTAGGGGGCTGATTGGATTAGCATAAGCCATTAGCAGTGGTTAATGGTCTTTCCTGGTGTTGATAAGTAATGCTGACTAATTGCCAGTGTGCAGCAGACAGCTGACACCGGCTCCCAGCAACAGGTGGTCCCCGCCGCTGATGTCACTGCTGGCCACAACAAACAGGGACAGAGCAGTCACAGTGGCCATGACAGAGATCTAAAGAACAACCTTTAAAAAAGCCAGACGGGACATTATTCTGTGTGGAATAACCTGCAAACTTCACACTCCTTCAGCTCTATTAGGAGGTAAGTCGAACATTCGTAAGATATCTGTGTTTGCTTTTTGGGAAATATGTTTTTATTTTATATTGTAAGCCCAGCTGGCATCTTTAGTTTCATTTTCCTTTCCATTTTTGTAAAATATCAGTCAAGAAAAACACTTCTCAATCAGGTTTTTATGTCAGCCACACAAATATTTAAGGATTCACTTGCTTTTTTTTTTTCAATGGCTGTATGTTCTAATCATTTCTTTATTTTGGATGTCCAAAAAGTTTTTTAAAAAGAGCTCCCTGCACTTAAACCAACAGCTGAGGCATTTAGTTTCTTTTCGTGGTGATTTTGTGCATCTTAAATGACTTTTAGATAACAGTGTTTTATTAAAAAAAAACAAATGAGTCATTCATTTTGTCCGTGCTCCCGTCAAACTGCACCTTTATGGGATGAAGAGATTTCTTTTCCATTGACATGGACGAATTTTAGAGAGCATGTGATGTGTAACCTAAAGCTAATCTTTTCCCAGGAACTGAGGAAGGGGAGGAGACAAATAAATTGATCCTAAATTAATTAAAAGGATTGGCACACTGGATACCTCCTCAGGATTACCATTAATAGTGCAATCAATCATTTTTATGGGGATTCGAGGGCAAATTACCACAGGGGCATTTCCTTCTCTGGTCTCTTTAAACCGAGACAAAGAGCTCTTTTAAAACAGAAAAAGATGAAACTCCAACAGCAACTGCTTAGCTTTGACCTCCTGAGACCCAAGCTTTAATTTGGTGTGCATTTTAGCTGGTTTCAAGGTATATGGGATTAGTTTAATAACTAGATAACTAATAAGTGTAATAGCTAGGCTTTGTCATGGTACAGATCGTTTTTCTTCTTATAGGCTCAGCCGGTTTATCTTCATATTTAAAATGTTTGTTTACATGTTTAATTAAGTGTTTTTCCAATTTGGTTCTGAGGGTCCAAATGACTTATGTACAAAATGTTATTATACAATAAGAACATGAATGGTTAAAAATGTATAAAACCATTTTACTTTAGATTTAAAACAGTAGTGTCTGATAGCGTCTGCTATGAGGCCAAGAGGTCAAAGTCGAAAAATAAAAGAAGTATTTTGGTAAAGAGAGGCAAAAATGCAATGTCCTCATATGAGGACGCGGGCTCTCAGGAGGCTCATACCAGCGTGCACAGCTTGTCTCATCAGCACACGCATGAGGATACAAAGCAGACTTCAATCTTTTCCTCCCCTTACGATGGGAACTCAGAACAGAAATGTAAATAAGTGTTGGTCAGCAGTCCTTTACCTTCTGCTGCAGCTCCACATGCATCCTCCCCGGCAGACGCCCCTCAGTCCTTTCCACAGAGAAACACAGAGGTTCTTCAGGCCAACGGTGAGTCCTGCTGCCATCATAACACAAGGAAAAGTTGCTCATATGTGGATGAATTGTTTTGGGAAAGTCCCTTAATTCCTGAATAATGCCTGATCTAAATTTTAAACAATGACAAGCATCCATGTTGTTTTTTAGTCCCTCCTGTTATTACTGATTTTGGAATATTCAGAGCCTCCATAATATTTTTTGGGGGCTAAACCCCTGACTGTCTTTCATATTCCCATTTTACACTTATTTTCTTAATCTTTCTTTCTTTCCAGACACAAAGAAGATGGGGCGCACTTCATGTCTGTATTGCATGGAACATTTACTACCATAAACAACTTAAGGTTTGCCTGGAACACAAAATACGATTGACTTTTCTGAGAAAATATGCAGTTTTTCCTCTTCCTTCTTTAATTTTGGTTCAAAATTGGTCAATTATTAATGTTTTTGTATTGTATCGTTAAGGAACATCACTGAACTCCAACCAGTATTAATTGAGAGTTACTAAAGTCAAAATTTAAGAAAATGTTAGATGTTTTCCAGGATTAAAAGGTGTGAAAGATGTTTTAAATAATATTCATTATTTAAACAATTTCAGTTTTGCTACAGTCCAAACTCATATGTTGTGTTCAATTGAACAGGAAAAGCAACAGATCCCCAAAAGTCTTCATCCAGAGTTATTTCCTGAGTGTTCTCTTCCAACTGTACCTGATTCAGTGCAACCTACAGAATCTCCCCAACCTCCCCTCTCATCTTTCGGTGAGTAGGAAGCGGGCAGTGTGGGAAATGCCCTTTCTCTCTACTTTGTACATGTTGCTATGTTTTTTTTCTCACTGTTTATACTCTCCATACAAAGTCTATCCATTTGGAAACCCTGACAACAGGAGTGAAACTGGAAACTTGACATCAAACATGACGAAAAACAGAAGTCATCCCTCCTCATCCACATCTTGTGACGGTCAAGTATCTCCGTCGGAGGAAGTGGGCCGACCGGTAAAGCGGCTCTGGAGGGAGAAACTGGACGAGAGAGAAAAAGACACAAGCAAACAAAGGTATTTGACCAGGGATTTCCCTGTTATGGACAAATCCTGGCATCCAAAGACGATCCCAGGCCCTGACGGAGGACAGAGTGGCTCACTGTGCAGGAAGAGGCGGCTGGAGTGTGACAGCCTACTTCAAGCGAAGAGGGTGAAGAAGGACTACAAAGACTACCCGAGGGATTTACACTCTGAATCCCCTTCGTTAGTCAGGCCCCATCCATCCTCACATTCTGTGCGAATGCGAAACAACAGAAGCTCGAGTAGCTGCGTTTCCTTTCCGGACGGCCGCAGGTGCATCGTCTCTCATCCGTGCTCTGAGCTGCATCCCTACCAGACGCCGTCCAGAGAGCCCAACAGGTCAAGTGGGCTCGGTTTCTGTTTTGTACGACAGGCCCCTAAAGGCTATCTGTGCAACTCTTTTTCTGCGTTCCACACCGCGCCCCCTTACTTCCCTTTCGGGCCGAGGCAGCAGGAGACGGTTGACCACAGGCCGACGCAGAGCCTCCCGCTGGGTTTATCACCGCTGCAGATGGCGGCCTCCTCGTCCTGGCCCTCTGCCAACATCCTATCAGGAACCGGAGAGTTTCTACAGTCTGCCTGATAAGACAAAAACAGACGAGCAGACTCCCCAGACCGCCGTTTTTAGGCCCCCGTCTGATCATCCCCAGACGTTACACTTGCTTAGGTACTCTGCAGCTTGAATTCAGATTTTTATGAAGCGTGTAGAATTTAACAGGTATGTCTTCCACCTACAACCGATTATTTAAAAAGTTTGTGTATTTTAGAGGCTCTAATCTAACTAATGGTCAGAGTGGGGGGAGGGGGGGTGCATGGCTGCAAAAACAGACTTAATAAAAAACTTAGCTCTGCAGAAGTTGAAGAGATAATTTTCTAATTTGAGCTCAGAGGTTTGTAGAGTATGAAAGGCAATGTTGGGCTTCTCTCCAGCTCGCTTCCAAAAACATGCAGTTTAGGTTAATGGAAGACTTCAGTACGGTCCTGTGATGGGCCTGCAACCCATTCAGGGCCCCCCCCCCCTCACTCATTCACATGGACAGGCGCCACACACACACAGACACACATACACACACAATAACCTAGAAGAATCATCAACTATATGTTTTATTGAAAATGTAGAATGTCAGACTTCTGAACTAAATAAAGGAGAATTAGACTTTACTGTGGTTGCTTCTTTTTATTCTGATGAATTCAATGTTGGGGTCTCCTTTAAAATTTGTATTGGACAAGCCTGCGAAATCAAATGCTCGTGCTGTTATTAGTTTTATTAGTCACATACAAATTCTATCACAAATCAACTGTCCGCTGTTCTTTGCTTCAGTCTTTTACTATAGGCCAGTTTACATCTTACTGGATTCGCATCTAAAAACAAAACAGCAAACATAAAATGTCTCTTCACGTCTTAAAGCCCTCCAGTTTTTGTCCATTTGTGAGGCTAAATTTGAAAATTCTCACAGCGTCTATGGACTTGTTGATGGTGACACCGTTTGATCGAAAAGCACCAGAAATTTTTTTCATGAATCCAAATCTATCCTGTAACATATTGTTTTTGTCTGGACCAGAACCTGGATTGTAAAAAAGAAAACGCAGACAAGCACAGCTTTGTATCAAAATATTTATTTTAAAAAATGTGCAACACTAAAATCTAGCAATATTTCAAGGCTACAATCCAAATGATATTTTCTGAAACCTTCTGGTGAGCAACATCCTGGAAAAATTATGACCTACACGTGCTTTTGCAGTGCTCTAAAGAAATGACGTTCCATGAGCACCAGCTCCAGATGTACAGCACAGTCCACGGCAGGACTCGGCTCCCCACGTGGGAGCAATCTGCCGTTTAGAACTTCTTAGTCGAGATACCAGTTGAGTGCTGTGGGGTTTGACTAATGTCAGCAGGGAAAGGAGGGAAAAGATCCATATCCACTTCGTGTCTGCGGGCTTCAAAAACAGGCCCATGCATTTCTGCTACTTACTGTGTTTAACATGCGAGACAAACAGTAGCCTGAAATAAGACTTAACGTTAATAATTTAAAGGAAAAAATATACACCTTAAAGAAAAATATTCAAGCTGACTCCACCATGTCGCATCCTGGACAGATACCCCCACATGCTCAGATCCCGGCCCACCTGAAGGCAATCACTGATCAATCATATAGAATTCTAACAGAAAACAACTCCCATTTAAGCCATGACTGCATTTTCACATTGGTTTCCCAAGCTGCGGTTCCGTCGCAGCCTGTGATCAAACCATCCCAGTAGAGCTGCTCACCGACGCATCCAGAGACTAAAGGGCCACATATCACTGACATGGGAATGATAGAAAATACGGCTGGATCGGATTATTATCAGGCTTTTTAAAGCCACTAAACATGAATATGACAGGTCTGACTGGAATGTAACTCTGTGCGTTTTTCCAGCGCAGCAGCTGCTAACGGACGGCTCCGCCGAGGGTTCGGGCCCTGTAATTAAACAGCTGCTGATTGGTGCGCATTTGCATAAAAGCTCCATGTGAGCGTGTGACTGACAAAGAGAGGAAAACCAGACATAAGCAGCTCGTGCCACTGTCGGGATAACAGGCCACTTTTCCCCAGCAGGTGCTGCTTGTAATTCAGCAACAAACCTGACCACGATGGGTGGGACAAACTCCTTTCCAGGACTTTTTTGCAAAGTATAAAATTGAATGATTTTCAGTCATTCAATTAAGTCTAAAACCTTTTAACAATTACTGTTTGTTCCAAAAAATACTTGGAAACCCTCATTTTTAAACAATCTATTAGGCGGGTTGACCAGCCACTGAGAGACAGAGAAGTTCTATAAATTATTTGAAAACAATAAAATGCTTTTATGAATTGAACTGACCGTCTGCTGGCGACTGCAGCAGAAAAAAGGCTGTTTGAACCCTGCGTTTTCTGATAGCTCACAAAAAAACAACAAAAAACAACAACACACTACACGTTCAAACCACGTCCATGCCAAGGCCCCAGGCCACTGCGGTCAGAGCCTGGACGGCCACGGACGTCCCCCCGCCGTCGCAGTCGTCCTGGGCCGGCCCCCCCGGCTCGTCCTCAATGTGAGGGATGGTGCTCATCACGCAGTACACGGGGGAGTCGCCGGCTCTGGGGCTGTGCTGAGAGGACATGTCCTCCCCCGCTGAGAGGTCTGAGGAGTAGGAAGACGAGGAGCTGGAGGAGGGCGAGGAGGATCCCGTGGGGGAGCTCCGGCCGCTCTCGGGCGTGGCGGCGGCCTTCCTGCTGCGGCCGCCGGACCTCTGACTTTGCGGCTTTTTGGCCATGTTCTTCATGATCTCCTTTGTCACCTCAACGGTCTCGAACCGCACCATGTTCACTTTTAGGAAGCCGTCCACGTCCTTCCTGTATCTGTGAGGAGAGCGGCAGCGTGATGGAATGCCTCGATGGAAACTCTGCTTCCGCAGGGAGACCAAATGATGCTTTTAAGACGAACAGACTGACCTGAAGCGGGAATGTCCAGAGGGCCATTTCAGCTCATGTTTCTTTCGGAGGTGAAGCGTGAGGGTGTAACACCAGGAGAAGACTTTATCACAGATGTGGCATTTATATTTTGACTGCCCCCCCACCTGTTGGCAAATAATGAGAAATGTCTAGAAATCTAGAAACAGATTGTCCATTTCAGAATTTCATACATTCTCAGCTAAAATGTCCAATATCTATTTATATTTAAATGTTAATCAAATGGATTTAAAATAAGATAGACATGCCATGCAGAGGATTGCAGTTGGAGCTCCTGTAGCTCACACAGATCATTTAGTCACATCCATGAACAGGAAATATTCAAACTGATTGTCTCCTGTCACTTCTCATCGATATAACGGTTAGAAATTCATGTATGCTTTGTATAACACTGTTCAGTCTCATTTACAAGTAAAGCGGCAAAAACTGAGTTCAAAATGTTGCTCTCTCCAACAACCATTCTGATCTTCAGGAGGCTTTTTGGATAGTATTTATCTCTGTCTAAAACCGTCAAAAGGCCAAACAACCTATTGTAAACTGTCAGACAGAAAGCCAGCCTGGATGCTATGACACAGACTCATCATTACATCAGGACATGAAAATGATGTGAACGTGGGGAGGTGGTGCTTCCAAACCTCGTGGACTCTCTTGAAGTGGTGGCTCATGGTTTGGAACGTGTGACAGGAATAATCGCATCCCTCCACTGTGCAGTGATAGACGGTGCCCTCATTATGCACCTCGGTATGCTTTTGGAGATCACGCTGATTCTTAAATCTGTCATTTAAAAATAAAAAGACAACTGACTGCTTTTTTTGTCGTGAAGAATAACTTAGACAATTTTTCACATTTACAGATGAATGTTTTACTAAAAAAAACAGAAGGGGCTATGATTCCATTTTTTTTAACAGTTTGTTTGCTGTTTGCTCATCACAAATAACCAGTTTCTACCTTTTGTCACAGAAGTCACACGGGAACGGTCGCTCGTCACAGTGACGGAATCTGATGTGAATCTTCAGGGCCGCCAAAGTGGTACAGGTCATATCACAGAAGGGACACTTCACCTGATTCACTGGAAGCAACAGCAACAAAGTCAGAATGGCTTCCAGCTGGTGAACAGATCATGAACATGTGACACCATCCATTCCGGCACACATCGGTAAAATGCCAGTACTAGATCACTAAAAAAAAACAATTTAAAAAATCTCACAGAATTTCAAATATTAAGAGTCTCATAATTATGTGGAGCTGAGAACAGTCCGTTAATAATTCCTGATCTGTTTGGTGATAAAACTGTAGCAGCTTATTACCGTGTTGACGAATGTGATCTCTCAATAGCCTCTCACTGGAAAAAGCTTTGCCACAATGTTCACATACCAGGGACTCTGTTGGGACACCAGCATGTAGAGGCATTGTAAAATAAGTCCAACACGTTCGGACCGCCGGTGGTCCCCGTCCTGATCTTTCCGGGGAAAATCCATCTCACCTATTGGCTCGGCCTGCCGGTGGAGGTGGTCAAACAGTTTTGTGTTGCTGGAAAACATGCTGCCACACGTGGGACAAGCTACCAGTCTCTCCTGAGTGTGACTCCGCATGTGCTCTCTCAGCCGGTACCTGATCTTGAAGAAGGCGTCGCAGCCTGTGACAGAAACATGAGGTGAGACCCCGTATGAGAGCAGAGCTGACATCCGGTCAGGTGTTTTTCTGTCATACCTGCCCAGCCGCAGAAGAGCGCCTGCTGCTGCTGCTGCAGAAGCGACTGCTGCTCAGCACTTTCCACGTGGTTGTCCACGTGACGGTAAAACCACTCCGGATTATTGAATGTGCTCTGCAGAAAGAAGATAAATCAATCACCGAATTACAATGGCGCGATTGACACGTGAACATCAAAAGAATGACTTAAGATGAAAATGCCTACATCACAATGCTCCCATTGGCAAACGAACCCATCGGATCCCTCTGGCACCAGGTTGCTGCTGTGCATGCCTTGGTTGCAGCTGGGTAGGTCCGGACGGGACCTCAGCAGCTGTGATCCAACAAACTTAAGCTTACCATGATAGTTGTGGAAGTACGCGTGCACCTCCAGCTCCGTAGGACTACCCATAGACAAAAATTCACATCCATTCCAGAGACAAGCATATTCATCTAAACAAGGAGAAGACATTGCTGTTATTAACCTGTCTAAGTATTGGGTTCATACTGCACTGCCTTCCTGACTCACCCAGCTCCTCCAGAGTGTCTTTGTCTCCCAGGTAGTCCTTCAGATGTTGGGACATGTGATCGCTCAACTCCTCCATGGTGTGGCCTTTGAAAGTGCACGAATCCCACTCACACACCACCTCAAAGTTGTCTAATCTCTTCGTTGTCATCATGGTGAGGAGAAGTGTTCAGCAGCTGCTCACACGTAGTCCAGAGCAAAAAAATAAAAAATACAGCAGCAAATGTATTAACTCTGAGCAACAACACCGTACCAACTTTTTGCTGGTTAAATTCATTATATACATTAGCTGAAGCCGAAGTCTGACAATGTGTATATCAAAGTTTTGAGTGTAGAAATTAATATTCTGGCAAACCGTCGTTGCCGCTCAAACTGTCGTACGTATGAATTGTTGGACGGTCTTTTCTAAAAACACGATACATTTTTTTCATCTTTACCAGCAATTTATAAACTATCATTATTGTACCAAATTAATTGCAGTCTAATTGAAAATGTCTCTTACGAATAATAATGTCCTAGCAGCTTTTTCCTCTGCGTGAGTGCTTCATCTCCTTCCCTCCTCTGAGCTTGTCTAGTTTTGTTTATTTCCGGTGTGCGCCTCTCAAACGGAAGTTCTTCTTCTTCGTCAGTCAAAATCGGGAGCTGACCACCCCGCCAGCCTGTGTCACAGTAGTTAAACGCCACGTTCACTGGAAATAAGGTTCGGGCTGTAAATTATTTGTTAAACTAAAAGAAAAGTTATATGAATATATACAAAATATGTAGTAAAACATAGTTGGAAAAAAATTACGAGAGAAAATCTTTTTCTTTTTTCATCTTTAAAGCAATACTCATTTTAAAAGAGAGTGCAATTACAAAGGCCTGTGGAATTAATTGACCATTAGATGAAACTTTACAGTTTTCTGTGCATTTATTTGTACATCAGTTGTTTTAAATGCCATCATTATATAGTCACCTCCTTTGTCCTTTGGGACAAAGGACAAAGGAGGTGACTGATGTAAACTTTTGGTGTTTTGGAAACAAAAACCAAAAATTTGATTTTTGAAGTTGAATCTTATATTGTAATTGTAATCTCTGAATTTTAATGGGGTATTATTGGACAACTTTAAATGCTACCCGTGGGATTGATTTGTAAGTGTTAATGGATTTTTCTCAATATCTAACTGGAATATTTATTTCATATCCCGATTTCTTTAAAAAGCAACCCATCACAGAGAGATTACGTTCAATTTCATCCTTACTATTTCCTTAAAATAATTCAATTCAAATGAAAAATATTGTTCAATAGCATATAAAGGCATAATGGCTTTCGTGGCATGCCCTGCCTGCTCCTGTGGTGTTTCTTCTACATTCCTCACTGAGCCCAATTCACGTGAGACCTACTCTGTATATTTTGCATGTTCATACACACAAGTACACCTACATCCAAACACAAACACGCATGTGCTTTATCATGCAGGAGACTTGTCCGTCCTGTAGTTTTGGCCAATAAAATCCACAGTTTTGTTTTTTGATATTCCTTCTGCAGGTGTCACTGTTTTTCTCTGCTTGTCTCTTTACAGGTGATCATGTTGATTCTCACCCTGGTTTCCCCACAGAGGCCAGTGGACCTTTTTTACCCATGAGATGACTTTTTTCTCTCTTAATAATTGTTTTTATTTATGTCTTATTTCAATTTGTTCATCTTCCCCTGTCATGTTACTGATAGTGTAACAGTAATAAATAAGCAATAGCTGTGCTTTATATTAATAAACCCCCTTGTTGTTCAGAATAAACATTAAAAATGTGTTAGTGTGTGTAAATTCCCAGAAACAACTCCTGTGAACAGGATAAGATTAAGGATAACAAATAGAAACAGTATGCTTAAATCAAGATTCACAAAATGCTCATAGAGTGTGCGACAGATCATCTCCACTAGAGGTCAGAATTAGCTGACGGTCAGCATCTCGTGAGCCACACATTGTGCACAAATATCAACCCTCAGGCGTGCAAAATTGCTTTTATTGAGCACATCCTATGCATGCATCTGTGGGTCCGTTGATTCACTGGCATACGAACCGAAATCTCCCAGATGTGTTGTTTGTGGACTAAATGCTCAGATGCCAATTTTGTATCACCACAAAAACTTTTTTGTCGTTGTTTTAACTAAAAAGTATTTAGAAATACTAAAATGAACACAAACCTTACACAACATCTTCATACACAGTCAAATAAGTGCAAAGAAATCCAAATCCCATCCTATGAACAAAAAGCAAGGTGATACTGCAAGCAGACAGACAAGTTTTTTAGAAACGAGGCAGAACTTAAACACATTCTGTGCCATTCCTGAGCTCTCTTTCAATATTTTATTATGCTCTGCATATACAGGAGCCCATAACCACTGAATTATTCATTCATGTTTATGTCTGGATGACTGACTCACGGAGGAACTACACTAGGATCCAAAAAAAGTTTATGAAATCATTTATGATAAAAAAAGGAAAAGTTTTGGATTTTCTCTTGATCTATTAAACCCTTGTCATATTCTTTTTTGAGAAGGTCCTTGTCGCAGTGTAAAGTGAATCTAACAGAAAATATTAACCCACAATAAATTTATCTATTTTCAAGTTCCATAAACATAACAAAAAATTATGATAAATTCCATTTCTTTCTAAAGATGAATCCAAATGTGTTTAAAAACTGTTACAGTTTTGATAGCCAGCAGGGAACTTTTCATTTAATGTATATTGGTATAAAATACCATCACTATTTCTATGTAAATGTAAAACCACCATCACTGGTTGTTCTACGCTTTAAACACATTTTATGATGAATCGTCTTTTTTCCACACAGGTAAATGCACACTTCTAGATAATGACAAAGCAAAAATATATTTTCTGTGTTGTTTTGCTGATTTATTTAAAATAACATAATGGCATCTGCCACTGAATTCACTTGATTGCTTCTTTCAACGAGTTTTATGCTGCTTTAATGGCTCAAAAAGAGTCTTCCAAAACTTAAACTAATAAGGGAGATGCTTCAACTACAGGTGATCAAGTATGTTGCAGCCTTTTCAAGTGTGTTGGTAAAACTCCATTTGAGATTTGCAGTACCTGCCTATTGTGAATTTACAAGTTCATCATATCCTTGCCCATTGTCACAAATTATGACTGGTGCCTGGAAGACACCTCTAAATGAGTGCTGACCTCATTCTTTAGGGTGGGGTGTGAAGCTCACTCCCCGAGTGTATCTCCCCCACTGTCTTCATGATGGCTTCTATACAGAGTCTTTATGGTCCAGTGCCGGTGTCCCGGGTTTAATTCCAGGCCATGGCCTCTTCCTGTGTATCTATGTGTGTCTCCAAGCTATTTCCTGTCCTGTTACATCCAAATAAAGGCTATGAGAGCCAACTAACCCTTTTAAAAAATGCCTCTGCATTTGTCCCAAGGGACAAGTTTCATACCTACGCCACCAGCAGGAGGCATGTTTGGGAATGTCTCACCAAAAGAGCCAAAGAAAATGTGGGTGGGGAGATGAGACAAGAGGGTATCCGTTTGAATTGTCTTTTAGGTCGATGGGTCAGGGACAAGCGAGAGAAACCACAATAAACCCATTTTTTATTGGAAATCAGTTAAATGTGGACAGCTTCGAAGTGTCTAAATTAATTTCAGAAAAATTACCACTGACTTATCATTGCTGCACGCTTTTTCGCCTTCGAAGTAAGATTTTTGGAGTCAAATTACATTTCAAATGAAAGAACCAGTAAGCAATAACACAGGAGTCTGAAGCGCAATGTTTAATCATTTCATTCAGAGCAAGCTGGGATTACAAGCACAACATCACAACACGGCAGGATGACAATGTCATGTTTTCCACTTCACTCTGGTCCGAAGCCACACACAGTCCGAACCAGACAGCATATACGATGAGAGATATAGCACCAAGGTGTTGGAGTTCCTAGCAGCACCTGTAGTGGTTGGGTCAGAGAGGCAGGGTGACGGTGGCGACTGGATCCCTAACACACTGAACTCGCCAAGGCCGCTAAGGGTTCCACAGTGGATGACAACCAGAAACAGAAGGGTGGGTAGCGTTTCAGCTCGAAGCGCCTTGGGTCATGCTCACCACGAAAAAACACGAGATTTCATACAGCAGCATTTGAGAGAGCTGAACTTTAAGTCCTGGCCCATTCCCTGTCCCTTCAACACCTGGAGAGATCAGCTCATTCAGAGGGAACCCCGTTCAGTAGATACAGCAGATCTAGCCTTTTTAGGCCTATTTGCATCATTTTGTGTTTCTAAATTTTTTGTTGCACAACTACGGCATCGCAGCTCAAAGTAGAGAGTGGAAAGCAGTGCTTCAAAATACTGAGTTGTTGGTAAAACTGCAGGATCCAGTCAAATAAAAGGAATGGGTTTCCATTTGAATGGCAAGAAATATATTTGAAAGCGAAACCACATTGCTGGTGTGTTCATTCTACAGCTTTAAAAACTACTCAACGATGATTTGGAATTATTGAGTGTACCTTTTTGGAGTGATCAGAATCTAATTCTACACATGCACTATAATGGAAAAGATCTTCCTTTATATTTAAGTGCTCAATTTACAAGCTAGAATGTGACTGTGACCTACAGTCTTGCTAAAGTGATGCTACTCAACCAAAAACGGGGTCTTGCATGCAAGCTGTAGCAATTACATTACAGTTCATTTGGTTTCTTAGCAACCAAACTGATTAAACCAGATATCATCCCGAACAATGAAATGAAAACCAGGACTATACAGCGGAGGCACTGTAATTAGGAAACCATAAAGCAGAGTTTGTTCTTTCATAAAACCCCTCATGTGAAAACAGTCGCCGAGGAAAAGCGTCTCCTCGACATTTCAACAATCATTTTTAATACTGATCTCATTCGTCATCCAGAAAAAAAGGTTAAAATGCCCTTTCACACCCATATGGCATGTGTACCTATGGCTCCTTTTCACGTCTGATGTCAGATCGAACTCATATGTGCAAATTAAGTGCTCGATAATATAAAGCGGTTCTATACAAAGGAATCACGTACCTTCACTCACATTCACATACTCACACGCATAGTTTACAGTGAAATTATTTGCATTAGTCTAAAAGCGCAACATCGGTGCACATTCAAAAGGTGAACTAAGTATGACAGGATAACAAGTGAGGATAGAAACCAAAGGGAAGAGATTTGCCTAATTCATCCCGCAGCCTGTCATTCACTGCTTGGCTTCAGCTAGTCTGTTGCTGATCTCTTTGCTCTTCTTGCTCACAGCCCCCTCTGGTTTGGGTTCTGCCGCACACACAGAGGGCTTCTTCTTAGCTGACTGAGAACTGGAAATCTGCTTCTCTTTAGCTTTTTTCATCATCTTTCCTGTTGTGGTTGTCGGAGTCTTTTTTGGTTTGGTGCGAGACACTGGCTTATCCGCCTGGAAGAGAGAAGAAGTGTTCACACTGAGATTAAACTGATGGCAACGCAGCAGATTGACATGTGGAGAAAAAGTATCAATTTTCTTCCCGTCTGAGAGGATGAGATGATTAGTGTGACCCTCGTGGGTTTCTCCATCAAGCAAAAGCTGCAGCCAGCTTATCATTAGCTTAGCCAGGGACAGGGACAGCTAGCCTGGTCCCCTGGTTCTCTGAAGAACTGCTATTGATGCAATTCCTTTTCATCAGGCTTCTGCCACTTTGTCAAAGCTGGTATCCTTTGGTTTACCTCAGGAATAAGTGCTCCTGTGTGGAGTTTGAAGAGTATTTGCAGAACAAATGTTCTTCCAGTTTTAAACTGGATTTAAGTATAAATGCTGCTAGTTTACTTTATGAAAAAGATTGTGATTCGATTTGAAATACACATAAAAATGTTTCTAAATGTTGTCCAATTTTAACACACGCAGACAAAGTGTGGGTTTGGTCGGGGTTGGGAGAACAGACTTGTTCAAAGCTAAGCTAACCCTCAGCTGGCTGCAGCTTTACATTTAGCAATAAAGCTAAAAAACATCAATCTGTCTGTCTTCACAAGAAAATAGTACATTTATCAAAAGGTACTCCAAAGAAGACTCCTAATAGTTAATTGACTTCAGCATGCAATACATTTTTTTTTTTTATCCTTCCTATTAAAACAATAACAAGCAAATGACACCATGTGGTGATATTTGCATATATATATATATGGGGTTAGTGCAATGACAAGAAATGGATAAAAAGAACAGCACAAAAGATTTGTTTGTGCTTTTTCCTCAGAACATGGCAGCATCTCTTTAGAATCAGTATAGATGGTATCCATTAGTACATGATGTTAGTTTTTATGCTTTTAAAGAAGAAAATATTTAGTTTCAGTCATTATTAGTGGTGGCAAAACTTAGAGGCTTGACAAGCAGGCTTGTAGCTGGATGATTTCCGCTTCAAAGGCCAGCTGCAAAAAGGTGTGCGCGCAGACAAGAGTGGCCGTAAGCGAGCGCTTAGATCCTCTCTGATCTTCAAGAGTTGCCACAGCAATAACTGACTGACGGAGGAGCTCCCCATTGCCATAAATAACTCGGTGGGAAGAAACAAAGTTGCAAAACATGCTCAACTTTTGTGGAGTAAATAAACCTTACATACTCACAGGGATGGTGGTTTCTGACAGAAATCATGAAGGGCTCTATTTCTGTGATTTATGGAGCAGTCGTGCAAACACAGTTTGGGACCTAGACCCTAAAAGCACTGCACACTCTGTTTGTGTGACTAATGGTTTAACTTTTGGAACAAATTCTTGCTGCCGTGGACCTTCAAGAGCGAATAAAAAATGACTCTTGACAGCCTGAGTTGCAAACTGTTACAACACAAATCAGACGAAAAGCTCAACAAATCATAGCGGCAGATACCAAAGTGGATAGCTCTGGCTTCCCCCACAGTGCCTTGCAGATATTTATAAATGCAAGTCATGGTCATTCATTCGGAGCAGAGCCAAGCCGTTTGCTCAGTGTAATTTGCACCGTCACCAAAATAGAGCCGTGCACAATCAAACCCGGAAACTCGAAAAGAGCAGGATTCATTTAACCCTCTCCACCCACCACCCAACCCCCTCATAAACTACTGTTTATGATTCATGTTGCTAAAACTACTAAAGGCAGTGCAGGCTGAGAGGTGGACAGAGTGAAGGTGGGGTCAGAACTCTGGGAGAGTTGCGTCTATAGCAGCCGGGTGACGCGTGTGACTGCGGCTTGCACGGGCCAAGATGCACACACTGCGTGTCTGCGTGGGAGCGGTTACACATTCGTCTGATGGCTCTGAGGTCAGCCTCCATGCCTTCCAGAAGAGACAGAGAACACACCTGACTACAGCTGGTTTAGAACACAGCTGCTCTCAGTCTGAGAAGTCCTACAAGAACGAGAGAGGGAGTGGCCACATGAACACAACACTGCAGACGATTCACCATTTCAAGCCATTTGTGTCTTTTACCGCTGACTTCATGTACATAGCAGAAAGGCGCGTTAAAAGGGCCCCGTTTTGATGATTTGGAAACCAAAGGATACTGATTTCTACTTCATAACAGCTGGATTGCATTGTTGATGTCAGTTTAGAAACTACATATAAGAGTCAAGTGGACTGCATAGACTGGAACAAAAAACAGTCATAATGACGGTATCATCATTATAACAACAGAAATCTTTCAAAGTATTAACTCAATCTGTTTTTTGTTCTTCTCTCATTTTGGTTAACTGAATTCCAATTACAATATGAGGTCTGCAAATCCAAATGTGAAATAAAATCAGATTACATGATAATTTCCCCACCATATTCTTCACATGATTCCAGCTTTATGTATCATCTAACATGATGATCAGGGGGTCGCTACAGGCTGGTATTCAGGATAATCAAGAGTGAAATATTTAAATTATTTCTATAATTTACATCTGATAATATCTTGATCTGAAATTGTTTAATGAAACTATGATTGAACCTAATTTTGTTGGTTAACACGGACAGAAATATAAACAGAAAAGTATCAGTGGATTCTTTTTCACGTTTTCAATGATTTCAGGGCCACCGCAATCGTGCAGTGGGAATCTGAAATTGTGATAGTCCTAATCAGGGAAGGGGTATATTTCTTAAACGTATAACTTAGATTAGATATCATCAGAAACATGCTGCATGTTTAGGGTTAGCAGAACGTTAGACTTTAGCAGAGGCACAACATGTCGACCTTCGTACTTAACAGGGACAAACTTAAGGATAGAGGCAGAGGATTTTTCCGGCCGTGGACGGAGGTCCGGTGGTCTCTCACCTTGGCCGGCTCTTTGCCAGGCTCGCTGTACAGGCTGCGTATCCGCCGGCGATCCTGCAGCTTGTTGTCGGTGGCCTGAGCTTTCACCTGCTCCCCCTTGTAGGTGGCACTGTAGCTGGTCTCCAGGCTGGTCCCCTCCGCCGGGGGTTTGTACTGAGATGGAGCTTTGATAGCCTTTACCGGTTTCACATCCTTATAAGCCTTGAACTCAGTCCTGAAGAGATACATCATCCACAATCAAATACTCTGAAGTGTGCAGCGTACGCTCGATTTCTTTAATGATTTCACGAGAGGAAACAAAGCACCCTCACGCTGGAGACGGCTGGAAGCTGGGGGGGACTGATCGATAAGGTCAACAATCCATGTCAGCTCTGACAGGTTTTGTGTTACAGAAATAGTTAAAAATGCATGCCCTCTGTGCACGATACGGGGGCGTCAAAGGCACTTTGGACATCTTGAGCAGCTCTCCTAAAAGTGGTTTTAAACAGGATTTTTCTGGATTCACTTGACAGGAAGTCGACGGACATCTAGACTCAAGAATAGTAAAAAATTGACAAAATTCTGTTGTATCAATGCTAAATAAATGAGTTCCTATTATTCTAATGACGTGAAAATGTTATTATTTAACCCTGCTTTGTCAGTTTAAATAACTATGACTTAAAACTGCCTGAATAGCAGGTCAACTGTAACTGGACGCTACATGTCCATCGATCCACTGGCCATACTGCTTATTCATAGTAGCGTCTGGAGCATATCCCACCTGTCATTGGGCAAGAGGTGGAATAAAATCTGGGAAAAAGCTGCCGGGTCATCACAGGGTCATGATGTAGAGACAAACAACCTCACACCCACATTGATTCCATAGGGGGGGGATTCAGTCTCCGGTCAGCCTAACGTGAATGATTTGGACTTTACAGGCCAGATGGAATGTGAGGAAACTCAGACGGAGCCATGTTAAGACAGGCCAGATTCCATTCAGACCCCTCTACTGGAGTCGTTGTTTTCGTGGCTGCGACATTGATTTGATAGTAAGACAAGAAAGGATGAGGCAGAGAAAGAGAGAGAGAGAGAAAATCAATGTGGCAGGCCCCAACTCTGATAGTATCCCTCCTGGTCTCTGGATGGGATTTAACAGGAGATGTGAGCTGTGTGTGTAACTGTCCCCTGATGATATGGAGCCTGCACTCAGTTTTGTTGCTGTAAAAAAGGAAAGGAAAGGAAAGGAAAGGAAAGGAAAGGAAAGGAAAGGAA